ACGTGAGCATGCAAGGAGGAAAAAAGCATGAAATAACATGGACTAGCAGTCCGAGCAAGGACTGCTTTATGTATTCAATGCGGGTTTACATGAAAGAAAAACTTTAATGAACCCTTTGGGGGAGTTGAGTCATCACAGCAGCAAAAGTTATTCAGCAGGGCTCAAATGAAGTGGAAGTTTAGTGGGAAAATAGAACAACTAACGTAGGAGGGTTACTGCTTGAAACACATCTCAGATTGTACCTTTGAGGCTGACAAATCTATTTTCTCAGAGCTCTTCAACGGCAAATGCAATCTCCTTGATGTCATGTTACGGTGAGGATGGCATGGTTTAAAGCAAAGGTTTACAGGTGGAAATATCCCATTGAAGTGATACATTTAATAACTGTCAAGCTCAACAATTTAAAGGTATGGTTTGACACTTTGTGAAACCATCAGCTTTCGATTCAGTATCGTTGTAGTTCAGGCATCACAAGGTCAAGAAACTGCCCTTTTGATAATCAGTATGCAAATTTAATGAAGTTAATAGAAGTCCTGATGACCGTAATGTAAATGACACTTATGTACACAAAATGTAAAACATTTGCAGGCGGTTAATTGTGTCAGCAAAAAAAGTGGACCGACTGGGATCCTTTTCCTTCGTCTGCACCAGCAGGCGCTCGCTCACAGTTTGATTTCATCTGTCTGTCGACTTAAATAAAGGTCAGCTGGGTAAAGGGAAGGATGACGTGAGCGGTTCACTATAACAGCTCAGTGTGTGTCAGTGTGTGTCTGTGTGTGTCTGTGGGGGAGAGAGGAGCAACAAGAAGGAGGCACTCAGCGGGCCACGGGAAGCTTATGTTTCATCAGTAAGGCACAACGTACAGCCGGTATGTGTAAATGTGGGCCTGGGCGGGTCACCGTTGGCTCTAACTAGAGGGAGAACGTGTTAAAACGAATGTAGGGCAATCAGCGATTGACAGGAACGTGGCGTCCGTGTTGGTCTACCTCTAATCAGCGATCAGGGGCAGAGCGCGGCGGGTGGGATGAGGCCGCGAAGCGGAGTGATGAGTCAGTGGTGGTCTGAAGCATCACCGCCGACTTGGTGCTGAATCACTGTCAGACCGATGTCTCCTGGTGTTATTTTCCACACAGTGGGGGGTGGAGGAGGGAGGGGGGGGCAGCTTATCTGTCTCCTCGCTTGTCAGTCACCTCCAATCATCACATGTGTAACAACCTCTGACTGCTGTCTGGTCAAGGAGCCGCCTTGTCCGTCCCCCCCCCCCCGTCCGGGCACGTCCCTCTGCGGGAGCAGGACGCGTGGTTGACAATAAGGCAGCCGCCCTTTGCTCTGCTGATAGGACACGTTCACAGCCAGCGTCCTCCCAGAGGTGACGGGAAACAACTTCAGTCTTACTAAACGAATGAATCGAGTTTGGAAAAAATATCACGCTTTTAGTGTGATTATTACCGAGTGTAGTAGAAACATGTTAACACGCAAGTGTATCGGATCATCTCGATTTTTTCAGCCATGCGAGTGTTTTTCTGGCAACTGGCCCACTGTCACTTTGGTCCAGGCTGAAGTGGACTGGAGGGCAATTTAAGGAAGAATCCCACACTGACCTGAGCATGTGTCCCATTTTACAAATGATCTTATTTGAAACTGGGATTTTATTTAAAACACTTTACTTTATCGGCTACGATTTGAAAACAATGTTTGAAAAGGAGAACAATGTAAACAGATAATTATTATTTTAATGTAATTTAACTTGAATAAATTGGTGATCTCGCTGCACGCGCATGTTCATGGGAGGTGAGGAAATAAAGATTGAAATGTTCAAAATACACAATAACTGGAATATTTTGTTATTTATTAGCTTTAGAGTAGTTAAATTAGTTAGTCGCTAATGCTCGACTACACGCCTTGAGATCACTAAAGCAGCACAAGATGACGATCAGATTAGACCAGTGGTCTAACCCCCCCCACAAAACCTATAGTTCATCCTTTTCGTGGCCCTCTGCTGATCTTCCACACAGCAGTCTGATTCACACTGCGGGAACGACAGAAGAATCACATCTTGTTTCCAAATGAAAAGTGGTCCACTGGTCGTCTTTTTTATCTCACTCGCCAATTCACAGCAAATCCTTTCTCACCAGACGCGTTCATTTGGAACTGTAAAGCCTCGCTGATGAGGCTTTACAGATTGAGCTTTTGTTGTGTGCATCTTTTATCCGCCTTATTCAGAAAGACTCCGTTTAGTCTCCCTTTTGTTCCTTTCTCCTCTTTACAGGAAGAGGAAAGAGGAATGTAAAAGAGTGGGGAAGCAACACAAACAACCAGCTTCCACCCGTCTGCAAACCACATGTACTGTATGTGACAGCATCATAAATTGCTTTTTGTCTTTGCCTCTCTCTGTCTGCCCATACTCTCCATTTAGTTATCAGTGTGCGGTGGCTCGATGTCAATAGACAGAATAATGCACTGCATTTGTTCCCGTGTGTGGGGGAAGTAGAAAGGATAATGGTATGTTTTACTCGCAGCTGAAGAAATAATTATTCATGTTTCTGTCCACAGCATCGGGGACAGATCTGTAGGTTTGTGTGTCTGTTTGTAAGTGTGAGCTTTGGCAACCTGTGATTACCTCTATTTTTAAAGACACTATTCATATCACACCCTTATATCTGCAACGGATTCCCCTGACAGCGGCTTTTGTCGGGGTTTGCTCACTTCCAAAACCTATTTGCTCACTCGCTGAAAGAGAACGTGTGAAGAAATCCTTAAAAAAAGAAACAACAAGCAGAGGAAAAACTGTGTGTGTGTGTTAGGGTGTGTATTGAAATCTGTTTCGCTCAACATTTGGAGGAGCATATTTCCCAAATGAGACAACGCTCATAGTGTTAACTTATTTTTCGTTGTAGTTTAAATTGCTGATCTTTATGCAATGGGGGCTTCGGTTTGGCTTTTCTTTTAGTGTCCTTCAGTTCTGCAGGTGAAGCTGTTCCGCTGTAGTGAGATACCGACCCACTTCTCTCTTCTTCCTCGCACTCCACCACCGAGCCACAGCGGAACCTTTCGTGTGGACCAAAATTAAACGCGCAGATGAGAGATATTTGACAAGGAATGCAATGTTCAGAGCAGCAGCTGACGCTCGCTCTCTCTCTCTCTGTCTCCATTGATGTCATGGCTCTGTGTTCACCTGGACCGGGGCAGCAGGCGCAGACGCTGTTTGTCCCGACACTCGCTTGGAGGCACAGCAAAAGGTCAAGCGACATAACAGTAACATCAGGGGACATTCTGAATAATGATAGTGGACATTTATTATACAGGAGCACAAGCAATCCCTGCGGGATCCTTTGCAGGGCGGGTCAGATGTGACACTGGGTTGGATTTCACAAATAACCACATTTACGCCAGGCCTTAATTGTGCCTCCCGTCGCTTTACTACCTCAGAGGGAGCAGCCGGAAAGAAATGAGGCATAATTAATAGCCGATTTTACTTTCGAACGTCTCTCCACCATCAAATGACTTGCGGCGGGTCTAGATAGACAGAGGCAGAAGTGTGACATTGGACGAGAGACGATGAGCCCGAGGGATGGATTCAAAATAGGAAAAAGGAGCCGGTGAGCGACCGAGTGAGGCAGATGGAGCCTGAAAAACAAAATGAGGGGATTACGAGAGGGAGAGAACGACGGAACGGTTCAATAACACTCCTCCACACTGGCAAAGCTTCATCAGCTTCAGAAGAGTCACGGCGCTTTGAGTCACAGCAGATGGGAAGCAGGGCCGAGTGTTGGTAGAGGTACAGCAGCTACTGCTGGTGGCCCAATCTCAGACGCTTTGTCAACCAAACCAAAATCCATGTCCAGCCCTTCTGTGAAGGCACCAGCTATTGTTTTAACAAAGACAAATGTGTGTGTCGCCATAGTTTATTCTCCGGGAATGTCGGAAAAAAAAAAGAAAGGCAAAAGAAATATTTCAACATCCGTCAGAAGCAACGAAATGAAGATGTTGCCGATCAAACGCTGTGTTGTGTGTTTACAATCTAAAACGCAAGTTTATATTACACACGGAACTGCTCGGTGACGTGCACGACCAACATTGTGCTTGTTGAGCTGTTGCATTGCACAGGCCTTTGATGGGGTACCAGAGAGAATCAATCAACCAACACTGTGTCCCACAGAAATGCAATTCAAACCAAACCAATGTTGGGATTGAATTGTTGGACCGTTGTTTAGTGACGCAAAACAGTGACAGCTCTGCCTCAACTGTGACCACAAGCCGCAAACCACTTAGAGGACCACTTACATTTAAAAGATAAATGCATGAACACAAAAGCAGGACATGCACTACAAGGAAAATACATGTAAAATGAGTCTCTGGATGCAGTTTTAGTGAGTGTGACACACACCCCTTCCCATCAGATTGGACCGGCATCATCGACATCAGCTACATACGTATATACTTTAATGACAGCGTGTTGTAAATAGCTATTTCTCTCTTTGGACTCAAGGGTAAATGTTTAGCTTCAGGGTGACACACGCTCCACAGCACTCTGGAGAATGACTTTGAGTCCAATTCTCACCATTGAATTATTCGACTACGTTTTGCTCCTGTTTGTTTGTTTCCTTGATTCAAATGGTGGAAAACGTCATCACTTTCCCTGTAGTTCACGTTAGCGCGGGGGGATTAAATAAAAAGCTCTGAATCACTCGCACTCCAGCAGCGCCATTATGTGATATTTATGCTGCCGCTGTGTTTTCAGAACGTTTTTTTTTTTTTTTTGTGCCGTGCCGTGCAACGTGTGCTTGTGGAGGTTGGTGCATTATTCATACGTGGCACTCAGACGTCCCGTTGAAACGGCCTTATTCAGAAGCTCCCTGCTCATTTTTTAGGCCTTGAATACAGTTGAAGATGCAGGAAAACACCAACTGTCGTGCAGACCCAGGTGACCATCAGCATTCACTCTTCCACACGTCAGCGGTTCGGACCATGTTGTCTGGGCGCGTCGAAAGGGCAGAGACTGATTTGCAAAGATGTATTTAATGAGGCACGTTGCCGAGGATACTTCCAAACACTGTGAATTCTCAAAAGGCGTGAACGATGCTACATAAAACTAGGCACAATGATAAATAACAATTTCACATGGGAATAAGTCCAGTTCTATTGCCATTTTTCTCCAGGATGGTGGTCCAGATGGTTTTCCATCTGTAATTATTTTATAAACATCTGACAAACAACGAGCCATCAGCCCTTAGACCAAAGAGATGAAGGGGGAAGCAAAGTTGCAGGTATCATTGAATACGACAGCTATCACTACGAAGGAGACACCTCAACAGAAATAACCTATGACACAAAATAAAGTGCTTTTCACGGTATACTTTTCACATATATTGAAATGCAGGCTGAAGAAGGATCATTTTCGTTAGATCGGTCTTGTCCAAAAGGAGACAAACAAGTTGAATTATTCCATCGTTTGGCCTCGTTCTGCTGCTGTATTCTGCGTTTCAAACCAACATTTCTGTGACACATCTTCATGAAACAGAGTGTGTGTGTGTGTCTGTTCTCTCTTTGGAACACAATGTCCTTTTGAAGACTGCCTCACATTTGTTAAATAAATAATGGATGAATGAATCAGTAAAGTCTAAACTGTCAAAAGTTCACCTCTGAACTCTACAACCAGAAAAGTTCCCTATTTATTCCATAACTGAACAGCAAGCTGAATAAAGAGAAGACGAGAGAGAGAGCAGAACATGAAGACCACAGGCTGACGTTTGATCAATGGTGACTGGTGCACCCGTGTGCACAGCACGACCTGCATGCACACACACTGACTCATCGCGGTTCGACGCTGGTGTCATTCCTCTCCCGCCGCCCGGTTCTCACTCAGACTCAGACTCCTCGTGGTGGTCAGAACGTCCCCGTTGGCCATGGCCGCGGCTTATTTCCCTGCGTTCCACGGTCGTGCAGTAAGGCAGTGAGTCCTTTACGTGGGAACGCGGGAGCCGCAGCTGTTAGAAGCTCAGGGTCTCGCTCAACGAGCTCAGCAACCAGCGGCGACCCTCAAGTTTCCTCTCACTTTCTTTGTGAATATTTCAAAAGTCTGTTCTGCAGTCGACTGTTTTATGCTCCATAAATAAAACATATGCTGTCCCATACAGTGTTTTCGTTGTTATATTATACTGAAAAAGTCAGAGAAGAAAAGTTTTTTTTGAGTTTCCCTTGAAAAAATCCCCAGTGACTTCAAATTTGTTTTGAAAATCATTTCTGAGCCTCCAAGTTGCCGAGTGCAGTTATCACTCCCGACAGCTGAGGATTTTTTGGGGATTGGGTCTTCTCCTTTCATCTTCTTCTCCTCGCTCTCCTGATGGGGGGGGCAGGTGCAGCTTTCTTGTCCTTTGCAGTGGGCCTCATGGTCCCATGAAGTTAATGTCAGTCCCCATGCAAGACGGCAAGACGGCATGACAAATGACAAGAGCACAAAGGAATAGAACGTGAAGAGTGTGCAGAAACAAGAGCATTGAGGGGGGCATCACGCTCCTCAGACAGGACATGGCGTCCTCCCACGTCTCCTTTGTGGCCAGGAACTAAATGTGAACACTCATGTGCCAGGCATATTTAAATCATTTCCTTTACATTAATTTTTTTGACTTTGAAAGATAAAAACTAGACTAATGAGAAATAGTTTCTTTCTAAAAGCGGGACTTTTGAGACACTAAATCAATTCCACTGGAAGCCGTTTGTTCATAAAGTTCCTGCTGGAAAAAGTGTCTTTTTGTTTGTCCAGTGTGTCCGTGTTTGGTACAAGTCACTCAGGACTGTGTGGAGAGTCGTTTCGCAGGGTCGAGGGGGACAGGGGGGGGGGAGGGGGGGAGGGAGGAAGGCGCGGTCTGACTTTCAGAGCCTTCCGGGGGGACGGCAGGAGTGGCGGGACGATCACGCGGGCTCAGATCTCCTCTATGGACTCAGCGGGGACCAAGCCTCTCTTCTTTCCGCTGCTCAGCCTCAGGAACACCTCGCCGTCTTCCCGCTTTCCAACGCAGATCTAAAAGGAATTCATTAAAAATACTGAGTTGCTCTGTGAAGTAACAGATACAATGCGGTTTCTAAATGTGGAGAATTTGAGACAATTTGAGACATAATTGATCTGCTAGGACACAGGTTTGGTTACTATAAGGGGAAGTACTTTTTTGTCAGAAATTATTTGAATAATGAATATCAAAAGAATAAAACGGTAAACAAAATTTAAATGACACATTTTATGGGAAAGATGACACCAAAATGAAAAATACATATTTTTGGATTTGATTCTTAGCAGCAGGAAATAGGATTTGGTTGTGTGAGGAAATAATGTGAGAAATGTTGATGATCAGTGCATTGTTCTGCTGATAGTCCGTTAAAACAATAGTGGAAATAGTGAGCGCTAACGCCGCTAAATAGACACAAACATCAGTCTTATATCAGTGTACCTGGGATTCCCTCACGGCCATGTGTCCTCTCTCTCGGCTGCCCGGATAGCCTTGGACGACCCGCCACACTCTCTCTCCTGGCCTGACCCGCTGCACAAAGTTGGCCGGGAAGAAGCCGACTTTGTCGCCGCTCTTGCCCTGGAAAACACAAGTGGAATGAGACAAACATCGGAAATGTATCATGGCGAGTGTCGAGATGTCATATCCTCGTAATAAGGCACTGCATTGGTTTTACAGCTGGTTTTACAGCAGGCCACTTATTCATCCAGTCTCTTGGGATATGCGTCTTCATTGTGTTGATTGTGGACCAAGCAAATATTTAACACACATGTCCAGACCGGAGGAACGTTTCTGCATTTATTGACATGTTTCAGAATAGTCATCATCTGTTAAGTCTGTGGAAAGAAGGAAATTCCAAACAAAATATAGATAAATAAAGAAATAATTTAAGATGAAAGAACCCTCAGATTCCGCAGGTATAGTAGAACATTTGTGTTTCTGTTTCATATTGATTCACCAATCGTATCGGGTTCCTCAAAGGGAAGATTGAAGGTGTTCCATGACGACCCCGTCGATTTAGGCCACATAAGTGCTGGTGAATACCGCTCCGCTAGGCGGAAGATACACAGACTGCACATGCGTTCATGGCACGAGCATCTTCCTTTTTCTTTGACGCACGCGGATGCACATTCGTTCGCAAGTCGACCTCATTATGTTAAACTCCTGGTACCTTTTGGAGAAAATTATGTTCTATTTCTGTCTGTGGCTGCCTGCATGTTTGTGACGCGAAAATTGGAGCAGGTGTTATTCATCACGTTCATGATGAACACATCCGCACACTAAATGCCCACACACACACACACACACACACACACACACACACACGCATTTCTGTTCCTTCAAACACACATCTTGCACACAAATGTTTGCGAATGATTAATTACCCACCTTCCACCACTCCTCGTTAGAGTCATCAGTGACCTGCACACGATCACCAGGCCTAGAGGAGAGAAGAAAGGGGAGCAGATGAGAAGAAAAGAAAAAAAGAAGGGATTTAGGTGGAGCGGCAAAGGGGAGGCGAGAGGGGGATACATGACGTGGAAGAAGAAAGGGGGTCGGGTCGGGGGGGGGAAAGTGAGAGCAGCAAGCAAGAAAAGAAAAATATGTAGAGTTCAGTTTGAGGACAAGAGATGATATTATAAAACTGCAAAATAAAGCGGCCGTACCCACATTTAAAAAGCTGTGCAGGTTAAAATGAATCTATTTGATCCTCTGCACGGGTTACAGAGCAGCAGACAACAAAGTCATGAGAGCGACGTGGAATACAACTCTAGCAGCTACTGCAGTGGGGAAGGGTGGGTCTGATCTGCAGCCAACCTGGTCTGAATGTTAATGACGCTACCAGGTTTTTATGACACACACACACACACACACACACACACACACACGCTGTCCTAGATCCAAACTGCTGTCCCAAAATACCCTTCTTTACATTGTGTCTTGTGTGTGTGTGCTCTCACAAACTCATAGTAGCAGTAAATTACACCCAGTTAGCTGAACAGAAGCGGTTTTGGATTCATTTAAAAAGAATTATATTCATAGTTAGACAAACTCGTGGAGACCTTTTTTTAGGTCTGTGCATGCAGTTTGAAGGTAGAACTGTATAAACCTAGTTTCCTTTATGTGGGAACAGCAACTTTGCTCAATTTCGATCTAAAAAAAGACCCTTTAAAAGTCCTCCAGTGATGGGAGGGTCTGATTTAACAAGTTAGAAATTCATTTTATGTCACACTCTTAACATTTGCACAAAATAGGTTGTATAATGTTGCATCAGGATTTCCGGTTACTGTGCATCCGCAGTCGGGGAGGCAGAAACGGTTGTTCCGGATGAATGATGACATTTTGTGTGAAAATGAAAAAAGAAAATGAAAACTAAACTCTTTTAAGTCAAAAGAGCACAACGCAGTAAACCTTCAGCCACTTGATCCTATAAAAAAAAAATGAACAAAGCAAAGTCCAATGCTTCTAAATCCCCCGAAAATCAAACCCTAACGACTCACAGCACATATTTAGAGCTGTCGCAGCAGGACAAAGGCAGGTGGCTCAATTTCATCCCTTGTCCCAGGAGGCCTGAATGAGCCAGCATTAAAAATAGCACCCTGAAACCCAGCGCGGCCCTTTTTAACGTCTCAAAGTCCATTTGATATTTTCCTGCTCAGTAAAGCCAAACTGGTCTGCTGGAGGAAAAGGTCTGTTGTTCCCCAACAACACGTAAACAATCCGGCGTCTCCTCTCGAAGGCGATTGTGCTTGGTAGACATCTCTCTCATCTCCTTATTGTGCAGTTACACCTTCGTCCATCTGGTCAGTGATCACAGGCGGCGAAAGCTTCTGAAATCCCTCGTTGTACAGGCACGTTGCTAATGAGGCAAATGAAGTGCAGTGCGGGAAACCAACAACGAGTGATCTCGGACACAACGGAGGGGATTTGGTGACCTTAAATAACCTCAGCTCGCATTGGGTGTGCAGAGCCTTTGGTTCCACAGTTAGTTGGGCAGTTGTAAAATGAACGTACCGATTGTGTTGAACACCTACAATCACCACAGTAATGAAAATGTAACAGTGTCATGAATCATTCTACGGCCGCGTCCTTCTTTTCTTCTCTTTCCTCATTCTTCTTTCTCCTATATAGCTTTTATACCTATATTTGCACTTAACTTTCTCCGCCCCCCCCTCTCTCTCTCTCTCTGGCTATGATAATCTTCAGCTTCGTGCCATCTCCCTCTATGTGTGCACGCCTCCCTCAGTTGTTCAGTGCCTTTATCCCCCCCCCCTCCCGCTGGGAACACAGCTCAGTCTCTGGCTCTGTGAGGGGACGGAGATGGGCTTTGAGTTTATAATTAGTCGTCCTTAAGGGCGCCCTGACACCGTCCTCTGCAGATGGCGAGGACATTTTCATCCCGCGGGAACAACAGTCGGGTCAGAAATACAGACAAAGCAAATGCACTCCCACAAACAATAGCAAAAAAAACAACAATATCACACAAGCACGTCTGCACGTCCACCATAAAAAATGCCCGCTGAAGGCGGACTGCGTGGCTTCAACTCACTGGAGTTCCAGGTCATTCTGTTCCTGAGGCAGGAACTTGTAGAGCGCTACATAGGTGTGGATGGAGTGAACTTCAATGCGCTTGGGTACCTGGACACAGTGAGACAGGGACGGGAAAGTGGTGAGATCAGGTATATAGACGCTCGGGGGAGGGAAACATCTGCAGGGGGGATTAAAGAGAGAGCTACCATCACACTGCTCTCCTCTGCTGCATTCGGAGCTTCGGCGGGAGTCGGGGCGCCGCTGCAGCTCTCGTCCTCCTCCTTCTCCACCTCGACGTCGGGGACGGAGACGTCTGAGGGGGGGGGGGCAAGGGATTGTCTCACACGGCGCTGCTTACGCACACAACCACACATAACGGTTTCATCTTTTTTAAACAGCTCTCTCACTCTCTCTCTTACGCGCACGCACAGAGACATGCACAGGTACATCACAACATTGCATCGGCACACATATGCACGGACATACAGCAAACGGCGGCGTTTACCCCCCGTCTCTTGAGTTATCTCTTCCTCCAAGCTGTACTGTCTCTGCTGCATCTCCTCACCTCCCTCCCCCTTGTCAAAGGAAAGACAGCGGGAGAATGTAATATTAGCAGAACAATGTCAAAGAGGATGCAAAGTGGGAGTAGCGCTGTTCTCCGCTCTGAATGCGCACCAAACGGATCAGTAGGTCGTAGAAGGAAGAAGAAGAAGGATACGCACACGCTTCATGTGCACTGTTTGGTTTGACAGGTGGGTGTTTAGGACAATTTGAACACTGTTTTTACTACTATATGTTTAATGAGAGGAGCACAGACACCACAGCGGCATCTGTTGTGCTCCTCGCAGACAGATGACGGCCATATGCCTGGTTGTATTTACAGTAACTAAGGGACTGAGAATGAACTTGATAGGAAAACATCGAAAAGGCCTCCAAAAGGAAAATCTGACATTTTTGCATATTTCCCTTTCTTATCTTTCCCATTTAATAAAACCCTTTTACGTTTAACATCACCCTGCTCATTCTCAATTATTTGTAGCTTCTTTCTAACGTCAAACCAAAATATGACAGGACAGTAAACTAGGGGGGGGGGGCGGGGCGGTGCTGCGAATCTCTGCAATGGCACGCGGACCATTGGACCAACGTTGTACCACACTGGTCCAACTGTCCTCAACCACTGGGTGATGATGTCATACCAGGCTGCGCGTCGGTGACTCGGACAAACTGCCAAAGCTGGAGCGGCTCATCTGTGCCAAGGACGTCCCGTAGCGCAAGGCGGCGTACACGGGATCGACACGCATCCGCACAGCCTCTGAAACCACACACACACACACATTCATAAAAACGAATGCACACACACACACACACATGCTTACGTTCAACATAACTGTACATTTTTCAAGCAAAGACACAGCTCTGCAAACAGCTGTGACCCCCCCACTGAGATAACACTGTACATCTTTATTGCGATGCAAATGTTGTAATGAGTAACACAGTCAGTCCTGGACCAGAGTGACCCAGACCCAGACCTGACAAAACTTAAGTACACATCAAGACATTCCAATAATTCTACATGATTGGATTGGTTTATACATGGCCAGATGTGTGTGTATGTGCAGGAGTGTGAAGGATGAAGTCATGATGACATTCAGTTTCATATTGAAGTAGCTGCATTTATCTTCCAGGGATTAGAATTAAATAGGTGCGTGTAGGTCTTCACAGGTGACAAAGCTCAAGTGTGCTTCAGTAAAGGTTGTGTAACAGACGCCTTGTGACTGAAGCGAGCCTTTCTGTAAAGAGCAGATTAATTGCAGGGGAAGAGAAGGTGTGCTCAGACTCTACACAAATAATAATTATTGCAGTCTCTGACCTTCAGTTTTTCTTTTCAGTGACGACGTGAGAACTTAATGTCTCAGTGTCTCTTTTGACTCGAGTTTACTTCAACCAATTATAACTTCAAACATCCAATCAATAACAAGCACAGTTTGACCGTCTCTCACTTTAACCTTATACAGCTTCTTTTCTAGTTTAAAAGAAGAAAATAAATCATTGTACGGATTTCAATCCGATACCAATTATTTCTAATTGTCATTGAAAGACTGCGACGAAGAGCTTTAACAGTTACTTCACTGCTGCAGCGGATTAGACTCCCACCCGGATAAATGAGGTTTCATATGCCACCGCTTTACCAAAAGTCGCTAATTGATAATAATGTGTAAAAACACGAGCGCGGCTATTCTACCAGCTCTTTAGTTTGCTCGCTTTCGGGGACACTTTGCAATGTGCGATTGCGAGTTGGGCAGGTTGCAGCCTCAGCTTGCTCTGGCAGAGTTCCTGGCCTCATGGTGCTCAGCTCATGGGTGATGACAGAGCTGTAGGTCAATTGTGCCCTGATTCATAGATAGAGTGCAAAGGAAGTGACGGCGTGAGCTGCGAACCCTGATTCAGCTCGGCACACAGTGTCTGAGATGAAGGACTGTGTCACATACACAGATGTTCAGCCAAGAGGTATTTCAAAGAACAAACAAGCTCCCGATCAGAGATGACGGGTGGAAGAAGAAATCCAGGGACTTTGAGGACATAACAGCCGGTGCTTGAGAGATAAATAGGATGTGTTCGGTTTGTTTAACTTCATAATTGTGGAAACCAATAATTAAAAATGGGATTTCTATTCAAATGAATATGTTTGGTGAAATAGAAGGCCTGTTATGACGCAGTGACCTAGTTGGAGGCAGCGATTCAATGTTCGATGTTGGAGCTTGAACATGCAAACTGCCAGACAATAACATCCAACCGTTTATCAGTCGAGGGCCGCACAGTGCACAGCATGAACAGAAGCATGAAAACATAGACATTAAAATGTGTAAATATCTATTCACATACTTCCAGGATGCAGACCGTCCTCCGAGGGAGGCTGAATTTGTTCTTCCTCTTTACATTTTCCCACTTCACGCTCCTCGGTCATCGGGTAAGATGGAGACAGTTCTGTGTTTAAACACACTGCATGCACAAGCACACACAAAAATCCACGGATAAAAAAAAAATAAAAAGGCTAAGCGCGCGACATCACAATAACAAAAGCACAGAGGACGCATACATAACACCCACTCACTCATAAAGCACACGCACACAGACACTCAGGAATGCTCACCTTGGCTCGGTTGAACTTCCTTGACAACAGACAATTGGTCGTTGACAAGCATCGGCGAGCTGAAGTTTCGCTTGAATGCACCGGACTAATGGAGGATAACAGACAGAAGGATTTGTTTTCAGTTTATTGGCTGAGCTGCAGGGGAAGCCTGCTAATGAAGTACCTTATGTAGTAATCAGAAACACATCAAGGCTCATTTCTGCCATCAAGTGACAAACTGAGGCAACCTGTAGGTCTCTTCGCTGCTTCACTTAGCCGTTTACCAGTATGCACGTGGCTTACACGCGAATGGGCATGTGATTATTTGTCTATTTGTCTGGACGGGTTCCATTTCACACTGAATTAAGTGTTTCGGCTGAGATACCAGTTTGTCTTCCCATTGACTTGCAAATGAGCCACTCAATTTTTCATATTATGTTAATAGGAAATTTTGGGACCCTTTTGTTCTTGTAAAGATCCCCAGGTTTCTAGTCAGCTGACGGCTTTCTCGCCGTTCACTGCCCCAATGATACCACCATCTTCCAGTCATCCCCGTCTTCGTGCTCTCCTGTCAGACGGCACTGAGCCGTCTGGAGCTCTTAAAATTGTCCGAGTGGCTCTTAGAAGGTCTCGCCTCCTGCTGCACATGCTCACGTCCTCTGTCCTGCACTGGGAGATAAACCCCACGGCTCTGTCTGAAATCCCTCCAAACCTGCCACCAAGTGGACTTCACTCCTCAGGTCAAGTGTCACGTCAAGTGTTTGTGTCTGCGGGTCGAAAAGCGTACGTGTACAAAACACGTGAAGCATTATTGCGATAAGAGTTAAATTCTGCGTGATCCAGCAGTCCGGGTTCACCGTGGTAATGTAACCATGGCAACAGTTGTCCCAGTCTCATATGTGTTTGTTATGGTAATGCTTTCATTTTTGAAATGACATAATAGACACACAAATGATGGCAATCCAAATGGGCTGTTAAAGAGGTCTTGGTAAACGCAGGTAAATCGGCAGCTGTAAAGCAGCAAAAACCTCTGATTCGACTGGCTGCCGGCCCAGTGTTACACTGACGAGTGGCGTGACGCCGAAAAGGTGAGACTGTTTCAACGTGAATGTGCGTCCAAAAACCACTCGAGAGCGTGACGCACGGCACCAGAGAGGAGCTCATAAGCCAAGGGCACCGCACCAAAGGAAAGCAGCGTTTTTTTTACGGGGATGTGTCTAGATGTGATTGAGGCATGAGGTAACTAAATGCTCCAATTGACTTGAGCAATTTAGCAATGTAGCAAAAGTTTAGCAAACACAGTGAAGGAGTTTAAGCCTGAGACATAAGACCGGAAAACTCCACAGCAGCAAGTAGTCAACCCCAAGCTTTAGTGTCTTACTAGGACCTCATCGCACTTAAAGACCATTGTGCTGGGTTGAAGGAGACTTTAAATCTGTGACCGAGACCATAAATTCATTCATATTTGCAACATTACATACGTTGAATTAAAAGTAGGATAATTTTCTCGTAGACTTCTTCACAATCGGACCCCCTTTTGCATCAAGCGCAGTAGCCCTCGAAAGAAAGCAGGTTTAAGGCAATTCTGCCTTGGCGGCACTTTTCAGAACAATCGTATGGCACAATCTGCTTAATCACTGCAAAGGAAAGATTCAGCTTGCGAGTCTCTTTTTGTTTTCCCCCAAAGACCAGCTGATCGTTTCTGCTCTGCACGGCGCTCATACATCTGGTACCATAGCATACTGTATCCTCCTTGCAGAAACTAATTTGTAAGCAGATTTTGTTGCCTCTGGGATCGAGCGAGCAATTTCTTTCCTTTAAGGATATTTTCTCGTTCTCGTCATATTCAAGAGGGAAATGGAATGTTCCTGAGAAGTTTCATGCAGCTGATATCTGCCTTCAGCGGAGAGTAATACCCACCGTGGCTGAACAGACAAATACAAGATTACCATATACACAGGGGTTCCAAACAGGAAATCTAAGCAAAAAACCCCAAACACATTATCCCCCCCTTGTGAGCATAACACAGCAGTGGTGTTTAGTTACAAAAATGTGCCAAATATTCACAGACACAACATTGGGCAAACCAAGAAATGCAGTGACTATGTTGAGAAAATCACTACCGATGTTACAAGGACAGCAAATCCTTCTGTGTGTATGCTCGTACCTTCCCCTGGCACAACTGCAGCGACAGTTCTGAGGTGCACCACAGGTGAGCAGCCATCTTGCATGTCTTACACCGCAACGCCTGTTTGGAGTTTCCTGCAGAGAGGGACGAAGACGAGAGGAGGAGAGCAGATGAAACGCAAGACACACGGAGAGGCAGCCAGAGAGAAATAACAAGGCTACACGGGGAGAAAATCCCAACCAACCGGGGCGGCCTGCAGATTGTGCGAGCGGGTGGGTTTTCTCTCGCTTCTGGTAGAGAGCGTAATAAAGTGTTGTCGTTTAATCAAGCTGGCGCTGACACTAACAGCTTCATAATCAACGGCTCCCCCTTCCAAAACATCCTGGAGAGATTGGACAGCAGCTGGAGATATTTCAAGCATAATTGATTTGGCATTGTGTTGTCTTTCCATCTTTCAAGTGCTTTAGTGATAAAAACCTCTGAAATTGTGTATGTTTGTTCCTTTTGTTTGTCACAGGCTGTTGTTGAGCCACTTTTATCCTACTAACCAAAGCCGAATAGATTTCTGGATTAGTTGCAGGTTGGGGGGAGATCGACAGGTTTATAATTGTAATTGTAATGCAGCAAACATGCATTCTGCCTCACCAGCCTAAGAAGGAGACGGATGCTCCATGGTGTTCGGGGACCGTAGAGGAGTGCAGCTAGAGTGAGTTGATATATTACGTGCACATAAACCCACAATACATGCAACAACAACAAATTGCGCTCTGTAATCAATCAGTGCAGTATATTTATATTTAGCGGAAATACTGGGAGCAGCTAATGGCGGATGACATCACTCGTACATCTGCAGCACAATGTCCTGGTTACTAATCCATCTTAAACAGAGCTTAAACAAAGGCATCCAGTCTACGAGCAACCGAATGAGGAACGGTCACATGGCAGCGTTTCACTTGGCACATATCTGGCTAGCCGAAGGTCCGTTTGCACCATTCCCTTTCTGGCGGAATGTTTTTATGTATTAATTAAGTATTAGTACCACGTGAAAGAAAAGGCAAGTGCACCATGAGTGGACGGAGGACCTTACCCACTATCATGTTCTTGCAGTGCTGACAGTTGGTGGGTTTGCGGAAGACGTGGTCCTGGAAACAGTGGGTGATCTGAGGCCGCTGAGGTTTGGCGGGCAGCGATGGGGAAAGGCTGAGCGAGGGGGAGTGGGAGGAGATGGAGGGGTTGGGGCTGAGAGACGGTGAGACGGACGGCGACCGGTCGCCAGCGAGAGGGGAGCCGGGCGCCAGGGGGGGAGAAGGAGGCGGCGGATCAGTGATGAAATCTGGGGGCAGGCGAGCGTCGCTGTAGGACCTTTGGAAGAAGTTCTCCACGCTTTTGCTGCGCATGATGGTCTTGAAGGACAGCGAGCGCTTTAGTCTCTGCAGCTGCACACACACACACACATTGACAGAGGCAGAGAGAGAGGGTACACTATAATAAACACCAGATTAGCGCGAATGCAGTGGCACATTCGGGAGAAATAACAAATGTCCAATACGGCCTCAGGGCACCACAAGCAATATCCCGGCGTCCATAAAGACAACGCTGTGCAATATCACCTCATATGGAAACAACACGTTAACAGGCACTGTGACCGCACGGCGTCCTTTGAACGGTCACATTTAATAGGGCAGCTTGTGCATTTGGCCCGTGGTTAAACAAGATAAGCCCTTTCTCTTTGACAACACCCACGGCCGTGCATTGAGGCAGGAGGTCTATTGTGGGGAAACGAGACAAGATAGTTCAGGTAGCCTTATCGGCCATCGACAGCCTCTCTTCAGGCCTCTCAATCTGATGGGCCGCTCGTTGGGCCGATTGATCGGCTCACGCTGAGCATGCACGCCCCACGGATCCGACGTTCCCGCAACCTCTGGCGGCGTCACGCCGCGCGGACCCTTGGCGTTGACGTGACCAGACAGCTTTTCAGTAGCAGACGGTTGTCAGCGTTTGAAAAGCCGGAAACAATCGGACCGCAAAACTGCCAGCAGGAGCCTCTGAGGTCGGCTGGCCGCAGCCGCCCTCGGCATCGATTGGCTGGAGATAAACACGCGCTCCCTGACGCTTTTCTCCTCCGTACAGCCATTTGTCACCCTGACACGGAGTGTCAGCGAGAGAGCCGTGCGAGGGTGTGGCCGCGTGGCAGAAGATGAATGGATCAACGCGAATAGACAAACGGACAGGTAATCAGTCCGTCTGCACTTTCTCTCTCTCTGCTCGGGACTTAATCACTTCCCGGTGACACGCTGTTTACGGCTCCGCGCGTCTGGGGACGAGATATAAAAACAGTTGATTTGAGTCGGTGCTTGCGAGGCACAGAGCGGGACACAAGTGACACAAACAGCGCCGGCCCGACTCATCTCATTGACTGTGGATTTCCAGTTTTTGGAAATGCCTAATGTGAATAATGATGTTTAAATACAGTATATTTACTCTTTATTTATACCCATAGCAGCAGACATAAATAGCGTTGTTACCTGCTAAGACCCAACTAATGATGACTAATGAAGATTTATCGACTTCACAGCCGCGTGATGCTTCGTTTTCACTCCCCCTAAGACGCGTAGACGAGGGAAATGCGTAAAATCACCGTGCTTTACCTAAGGTGCTCAGATAAATTCAAATCTGAACGTGAAAAACTTTATGTCAAATGAAAAAAACTCTAATTCTAAATGCATGGTGAGTTTGTTTGGTACCATCAATTTATACTTTATAGGAGTAATTATTTTATTCCAATGATCTCATAATCATTCTGCTGGAGCAAGATGGCTGGAGGACGAGATACAGCCAAAAGCAATTTTCACAACCCGGCAAACCAAAAGTTGAACATTGAACATTCTCAGATAACCTTTAAAATCATTAAAACCAAATATTCCAAGAAGAACGCCTTATAAGAACGTGTGTGTGTATTATTTTCTTTCCTCTGCAGCATAGCAGCCTTGAGCTGAGCTCTGTCAATCAGAGCAGCTCGGATGGAGCACAACAGCGTAACAGCTACGGATGGAGCACATGTCTCAATTACAGCTAATCTAATCATCTGTCGGTGTGCGCGCGAGCCTAGAAAGCATCCCGTCAGCTCCCATTTGTACATTAGCTGAGAGCGTCGCGGTGGAAGCCGGTGTGACACCACGCTGGATTTGGGTCACGTGAATTACTGAGTCAGGTGAGAGGCCGGTGGGTCGGTAGCAATGAGTCAGAGTGAGCCGCACATGACGCCTGCTGTCTGATCCAGTCCCAAACGTGGGATTATTGATCCGCAGCGATGGTCCGAGAACGACTGCGATGAAAACAGCCTCAATCTGATTTCATCTCCGAAAAGAAACATATGGGTTCGTTTTAGCTTGTTGATGTTTCAATTCTGTGAAATACACTCTAGAGTATTTACAAGGTGTAATCATTCTCACATATTTGCTCCATCTACCAGCCTCCGGTTGTTTGAGCAAAACATAAACGTCCAAAATCAAAACTCCAAAGAGGAACGGCAGCCTTTCAGAAGACACCGCTTATATTTGATCTGAATATGTAGCCTCCCTCCAACCTAATTGATCGGGGCCGGGCTGAGATCTATATGGGCCGCTCCAACCTGGCCAGAGGTCAGAACGGAGCAACAAAGGCTCAGTCCCACTGGGGACGTGACCATAGTCTGCTTTTGTGTGAACTGGTATAAATAATTCAGCCTTTAGAGACGTTTGCAAAAGGAAAGGCTTATCCAGTCACTCCAGCTGTGTCTTTGTCTAAAAAGGTTGTAAATGTCAAAACATTCCCTCTCATTATAGAACCGGGTAAGACGTCCTTGTCAGCCTCTCCTCCATGTTTTGAATTTCTTTTAAAAGCAACAGCCAATCAGTAACATCGCTTTAAATAGAAATGTCCCTCTTTTCCCACCACTATGCGCGTTCACTCCTGAACTGTGCCAAAGACCAGAAGGAGAAATCTGTGCACGTAAATGCAATATTTTTCTTTCCATCGCTAGTAATTTCGACTTTAAAATTCTGTTCTAGCTTTGTGTTCCCCTTTAACACTTCACACAAAAATAATTTGCAAAGTGTCTCTGTGGACGTCACCGACCTTGTTTTAAGTGATGTTACAGTTTCATGAATGATAACCAAGCTATGAAACACACAGTGTTCCGCCTCAACTCAGTTGGCAGCCCGGCAGATCTCCGTACTGAATTTGCGATAAGAGATGCTAATCGCAGGCTGCTTCCCTCGTTCTGCCCCCATCGCTGATGCACGTACAGCACACACACACACAATCCCATGCTTGCTCATACACACAGGCTTCTCTTCCCGTCTCTCTACGATTGCTTAACGGAGGAGAAATAGTAGCGAGGATTATAAGCCACTTTGGGCCCTGCCTGCAGGCTTCGCCCTGGTAACTCATCATCCACCAAGTGTTCAACCACACACACACACAACACAATGTCCGACCACGACGGGAGGGGATTGTTGTTTCTGATTGAGCATCTGCAGCAACAAGTATCGCTCACAGATACTTGGCTTTTATACAGTTATCTTTGTAACTTGAAGCCCTCTGGCGTGCAGTGTTCTCACACGTTTCCCTGCACTGTCGCATCAATAAACATCGCAGCAGTAAAGGTGTTACATTAATCAACAAGGACCTTGGTCCACGCCAGCCTCCCTCCCTCCTGCCCGCGTCAGTCAGGATCAGCGCCAGTCTTTCCTTAGATCGCCACGCTGTGTCCAGGGTCCCTAGATGATGAATCATACAGACTTTGGCAAACCCCACTCCATATCCCTCATGGCCGCTCACAACATTTATTCTTGGACCTAATAAAAAAAAGTCAGGCGGAGTGGAAGAACACCAACACACTTCTTTCATTTCTGCTGCTTTACTTTAGATTAAGCCGTACATCACTGCGCAGTGCTCAAGTGCCAGGCATCGGGGAGAAATACCTGGTGTGAGCTTTTTGTTCTTATCTTGGAGTAAAGAACAAGGATGAACTGTGATCAAAACTGCCAACTGGACCCTCCAAAAAGACACGTTGGACGATCTATCATTTTCCGCTTCTCGCAGGCGGTCCCCATGTTAAAAGGACCTGTACACTTTTATCACAGAAAACATCACCAAATCCAACAGCTCTCCGCCAAGAGCATCACAGTGGATTGATGTTCGGGCATATTTTCTGCTCTACCAATCACATTTCTGCCAGCCTTGGCATTAGACCAGTACATTGTTGGGAAGCAGGGAGAAAGTCCATGCTTCCATTCCTCTTAATCCTCTGGCACTCTATTCCTCTGTTCCTGGTTTCTGTTAAGTGCTGCTGGTGGTTTTGAGGGAGCAGCTCCGGGAAAACAAGCGCCCCGTCATATCAAATTAACATCTGTGCATTATGTGCCTGATTAGATTCTATGAAGACTGAGACCCCGTGGCGGAGTTTTCATTTTAGCAATGGTGTTGACTAAGTATGTATCGTATGGGTGTAATAATGATGAGATCTTCAATCCACCTGTGGCCACACCTGTGCCGATTAAAGCCCAGCTGACATTGACTTGAGGCGGCTGAGGGTAAAATCGTGTGAAGTGTTTGGGCCTAATGAATCAAGTGTTCCATTAAAAAGCGAGCTTTCACAGCTCCTGCACTTGGAAGGCAGCCCTCGAAATATTTGATAAACAGTCAACAAACGGATTCGTGGGGACACTTTGTAACGACACTTGAGGCTCACACTTCACCACGCAGGGCATCTCGTTTTTTGGCATATTAGGCACAAAATGCACATATAAATGTGGCCTTTTCGATGACATGACATGTAAACCTTCTTGTAATGAAAGGTCATTTAACATGTTTGCATATATGTTTGTGTGTGTGTGTGTGTCCAGATATGTTGCAGAAAAGTAAAATAAGTCATCAACAATAAGCTAAATCAACCAACAATACATATGAAAAGCATTATTTAAAGCAATCCTACCATGTAAATTATACTCATAATAATGTACAAAATATAAATAGCAACTACACAGAAATGTGTGTGCGAGTGTGTGTCTGCACGCGTGCGTGCAGGAAGTGAATTTGGAGAGGCAGAGAAGAAGGAGGCAGACAGAGACAGTGACATCACACCGTACGCGTGTGCTTACACCTCATGACGCAGTCCTGATTAACGCAGTTGCGATAGTGAAGAATGCATGCGATACAAACCGGCGGAATAACGAGAAAGAGGCGCACAGCTGCATAACAACAGGTAAAAACCCGTATTATTCAGCCCATAATGATTTTAGCTTAAAGTCTCCACGGAGGAAACTCTTCGGCCAAGTTGAGAGTCTTTGTCCCCCCAGTTACACAGACTATTGTGTTGTCTGAAGGACGCGGAAGTGTGTTGGTTCACCGGAATCACACCTGTGTGCGTACTTGCCTTGGAGGACATCGGCTGGATGGACATGGTGCTTGGAGAGCGCTGCAGCGGCGCGTCGCTCTCCATCCCATCGTTCCCAGTGATCATTGCCACTGCCGTGCGCGGTCGTTAAAAGACACACAAACAGCTAAAGAAAACCCGTTTAACGCCGCAAACTGTGTCCGGTTTCCACAAAATGTCCAGCGTCGGCCATGCAAAAGCTCGGCAAAGTGTGACAGATCCACATCACAGAGGGGTTTCCACGCACCTCCTGCAGGTCGATTTGAAGAGTTTCCAAACACGCGCACGGCAGCTGTTTATATTTGGTTTAAGCCACGCACGGAGATGTGAGGTATGATCAGAGTCATTGCATCGTCGCTTTGAAGCGCATCCGAAAACTCCAGTGAGGACCAATTCCGTCCTACAGTTTCGAGAAAGGATTCAAAAGAGCAAAAACGTCGATGCGCGGTGGGGGGGTGGGGGGCATCTTAGAAGGAATACGTCCAACAAAAAAGTCTGCTTTGGGGAGCTACCGATTGGGTGCAACTCCCAAACGAGCTGTGCCCTTCACTACTGCACACACTTAAATTTAAGCGCAATCTGAGACCCGCCTTCCCGTGCGTCTGAGGCGCGTGATTGGCTCCGGTTTTTACAACTCTGACCGAATCGGGCACCACGGACGTGGGCGGGGCTTATTTTCCAAATATAGTCTATAGCTCGCATTCGGTTTATAGTGAGGTTCTCTTTTTGAGATCATAATGAGGAGGATTCCTCTTCGTTTTCCCGCCCGGTTTTATGTCAACACATAAAGTGCTTCTTTTTACTCAACTACTTGAAAAAAAAATGAGAAAAAACAGTGACTACATAATTGCAAATAATTCCAACAGGTTAAATTAGAGGTCTTCAACAGGGGGTCCGCGACCCCCAAGGGGTCCGCGAAGGTACTGCAGGGGGGTCGCGAAATTTTTGGTTGATAAAGACAATTTTTTCCCCCACAAATGTAAATGTCTTCAGAATCAGAATTTTTTTATGGTCTTTAAATACACTTTAACATGAATCCAACATATTGAAACGAATAAATTGATGGAGAAGACGTTATCTGTAAGTCCGCAACACACACGTTCAGCTTCCCTCAGCAGCTCTCAAGCTGGGCACCGGTTCACTCACAGCTTCTTTCATGCGAATACGACAGCGCAGGCACCAGCCAATCAGATCGCGTTTATGCTCACGTGTAAAGAGCGGGAAGCTCAAAAATAAAAGATGGCGGACCAAACTCCGTAGAATAGGGGGTCCCTGCTCCACCTCGCCATCAGTCTGGGGAACCTTGGCATGAAAAACGTTGAAGACCTCTGGGTTAAATAGTTACACCATCTAATTTGTAGTATAAATTCCCATATACCTGCCAATGTAGGCTATGCCACAAATAGCCGAGGACTTGTAGACATTTCTGTAGCCTATTTAATGAATTTGCGATTCAGTGCATCTGTCATCTTCACCCACAGCAGTAAAGGACCCATTTGGGATGAGCTGCACTACTTTCGCACGTTTGTTCTTTTGCAGGGGAATTGTTTTTGGGACACACTCATACATTTCTTGTCATTTCCCACCTGCCCTCCAAACCCAGAGGTGTAAGTTACCACGTGGGTGCTTGCATTCAGAGTTACTCTATACAGCAGGGGTTTGGCATGATTTGTTTTAAGCTGCCACAACAAGACCCGAGGATTGGCACCCGTCATTTCAAATGCAAGGTCATCTCCTGGACTCCCAGGGTCCACTCCACACTCACCTGATGAATTAAATAGACAGGTAGAGTTAACATAAGTGGAATTGCAGAACCATCCACAGTGTGCGACGGAGAGGAAACACTTGTGTCATTTAAGTATTTTCTTCCATCTGCACGGCATCAATTCACCTAAGCGTGACATCAAAATCTGAGCCGTCAGGAAATCCACGTGCTTGGATGAGTTGTGCAAAAGACCCCCAATGAAGACAAGAGGAGAAAACCTTGATTACTGCTTCACTCAGACAGGACACAACAGATTGCAGCGCTGAAGAAGAAGCAACAAAAACTGAAGTCAAGTCAAAAGTTGTCTGGTGTGTAGCTGTGGCTTTGCAGCCAAAAATAAACCAAAACGCAATGTGTCGGTAAGGCGGTGAGCTGTGATCTGATCCGTCTGTGTTCCAACACAAAAAGGCACAGTACGATTGAGAGTATTCTGAAGGAGAAAAAAACCCATTTAAATGTCTCCCTCTGAGACACCGCTTTGATCCTCCCATGCGATGCCCCCACGGCTGAGCGTTACAAAACCACTGATCTCTCAGTGATTGTGAGACGGGGGGAAACAATGGGAGGCTGAGAGAAGCAAAATGAGCCCCATGCGGCGGGAGACGGCTCCCAGACGTGACAGCGGTCGCCATGGTGACGTCACGGAGCTGCTGCTCATCCCACTAGAATAAATTTACACAGATTCTTCATCTGTGCTTTCACCTCAGACATGTGCACGTCAGTACAGACAACAGAAACATCACATTTCAAACCAGACACACGCGTATGATAAAGACTGTGCTCCTAGGACCTCACAGAGACCTTTGCGAGGTATGGAAATAAAACTGTTGTAATTTATTATCATTTGTAATTCACCTCCAAAATCTAAACTAGACAAATCTGCAGGTCAGTCACTGCCTTCTCCGTGCCATTGGTACCTCTGCTGCTTCAACCTGGCATCCTCCTCCATTGGACTTTATAACACGTTTTGGAGCAGAGATGTATTTTATCCTCCATCACTTACATTGACATTGCAGGACTCGGGTGGGACGGGGAGGGGGGATTGAGTCTGCGATTGCCTCATGATGCTAAACCCAAAGTTTATGGGCAATGCTTCCCTAATGTTGCATTTTTAATGTGATGATGTCTGCATTGTGATAAAGAAAGAATGAACAATTCTTGCATTTAAAGTGTGGAGAGATGTTTAACGGCCAAATATGAAGTTGAGGATCCTCCACAGAAAGCCAAACCTGCTCCAATGTTCAAATGGTTTTAAGACAGTATAATTCAACCATGTTTACCTCTCAAAGTTGTATTTGAAGCTACAATCACAAAAAAAGTGTTTAGAAAAATCGTTTTAAACAGTTCATTTTATGATGTCCTTTAAGTAAAGAGTATATATAGGAACTAGTGGTTTACTCCACTGTAATCCTGAGTAAAGCAAATACATTTCTCCCATTGAAAAGCGGACAGACCCTGAATCCCGTCACCAGCTGAAAGCTGACCGGCTCTCGGCTGCCATCTGCTGCTCCGACATGAGAACAAGAGCATCACCAGAGTGAAAACCAGACAAGTCTTAATAATATAGGTATATATTTATTTATACGTATATATTCATTTATAATCGGTTAATTGTAAAAAAAAAAGAAAAGAAAAAAACATTTACAGTAATTTTATGAACTACAGTCATTGTCAAAACGTTTTTTAAATTTCACAGGTGTCAATCTACCATGAACACACAGTGCGGATTCACCTCTCGCTCTCCGTCCTGATCCTCAACCGTACTCCAGTGTTTGGGACGTGAAACAAGCGCGTATAGCTCGACCGGAAGGTCTAACAGAAGGATGGAGGCGTTTGGGAGGAAAAACAAGTCTGCAGTTTTGCTTTCTCAGGAGCCCGTAGTGTATTTTGTACCTTAGAAAGAGATAAATAGCAGGATGTTTCTTTTGTACAAAACTATCAGGAGAACGTGTTCGTACCCGTGACCCCGTCTAAGTGTTTGGCTTTAAAGCGCGCTGGCTCTGGTGACTCAATCAGTGACTGACGAGGGCGAGACGGTGTTACAACCTGGCTCACTTTAAATCCCGCCACGTTTCCTTCTTCGTCCAGTTGACCGTTCAGACCCGGAGAGTACATTCGATATCTGCGCCATTTTGACTCTTAGTTGTTCCCTAATCCCCCGTAAACCCATTCAAAACAAACAGAGCCGAGTGGATTACACAGGATTCATCTCGGTTTGTCCTGCCCGACATGGCCGCCATTGCCATTTTCTGTCTCGCTTGTTGTATTTGGACATGGGCACCTCATGGGAGAGAAAAGCAAGCAGACAAATCACGCGTTTGGGAGAAAAATCCGATTCAGCCGTCCAGAGAGGTCTCCTTGATGGAAACAATTCAATAGGTGGAATACAAAAAGCATACATAGACTTCATCATGAACTCAACTCACAGTAAAAAAAAAAAAAGGACAAAAAAAAATCCAACTCAAATTTCAACATTTATTTAAATTGCACTGTTGCCAACACTTCCCCTGGACAAAGGCTACACTCTGGACATTAAGTAACAATAAAGTCAAACACCATCAGATCAAAACTAAGGACTGGAAGAAGACTCAAACTCATCTCGGAGACAATAAACTTCAAAACACAGAGCAGGCGCAATCCAAACCACACCAAAACAAAAATGCAAAAGAAGAGAAACGGTAGAGATCCAGAGGAAATCAGAAAGAAAAGCAGCAAAGGACACACGTATAAAAGGAAACCGGACGAAAAAAAGAGACGTAGAATGAAGCAGGTGCGAGTGGAGGAGAGGATGATAGATAGAAAAAGGCTTCAATACTTCATAGGGCTGGGGAAGGGGATCCATTATAGCCCTCCGTTATGACAGAGTTCTTTCCAGCAGGAGATCATTTCGGAATAACCTCCGCTTTCAGAGACTCCGACGGTCGGATCCGGTCTCCACCTTCGGCGCCGTCACTGCGCTCCGACAGACGGAGGAGGTCCCAGCATGCTTCTACTCCATCAACCCCCGCAAGGCCTCGTAGGATTGGAAGTTGCCCGATGCCAGAACCAGGTGCATCCCCTCACCGCTGCACTAGTTCCTCGTCATCAGAACCGTCACCGGTGAAAAACAACAGCAACTAAATGAAAATCGAACTAACTGATAATAGACGTACTTTGATCGTTTTCAGTTGGCTTTTTCTTTCCATTGTTCTGGTCTGACAGCATGAATCCACGAGGTCGTGTCAGACTTTTATATTCTTTCACGCTGTCAAAAGAGCGTCTTTGTTACTTCCACCGGTGTCGACGCGAGCGGACGTGAGCCGACACGAGCCAGCGTCAGTTCTGCTGTCAAACTCCACGTTGGGTGCCGGCTGGATCGTCTGTCCGAGGCTCCAGCACGTACTCCAACACTTGGACAAGCAAGCGCGAGCCGTGCCGTAGTTCCCTCAGGAAGACCCATCGACAGACATCTCCTGTCTCACATCATCATCATCTGTCGTTTCGCTGGCTTCTACTCACGGACAATATTTACAATTTGATTTTAAAAAACTAGAGGTGTTACATGCAACATTTGGCATCTGAGTTCCCACATGTGATTCTTAATTGGTGTCCATTTTTAGAAAAATATTGAAGTGTTTTTTTTTTTTTTAATTCTTCAGCATGTTGAAGCTTCGGATTGTAACAGAGAGAGGTGGGGGTTCAGGTGGAGCAAGTTCAGTGTGCGGATGATGATTCCTCACTGTGTGTGTGTGTGTGGTTAGTGAAATGCTAGTCTTAAATTCAGAGATGGCTGTTGGGTAAAGTGTCTTATCATTGCTTAACTGCAATTGGTGCAAATAGCTGCAAATTTCTTTCTTTTCGTCACAAAACAGGCTTTCGGGGGCTTTTCTATGTGTTTGTCTGCTGGACGCATTGCTGCCCATCTTTTCAAAATAGCCTGGAGGAAAAAAGCTAACCGGGTTCTTAAGTCAAATGCCCTTCCCTTCTAGAGGTAGCGGTAAAGTAGTCGCAGGGATTTTTAAATATTTTGTTAATAAAGTAGAACCGGTCTCAAAGTGCTGAACAGAAGCGCGCGCTTCTCTCCTAAAATACGAAACGATGGTTTTTGATGGGAAAAATTTGACAAACTCGTACTTCATTTGATGATGAAGAGTTAAATCCCTTCACAGAGGTGACCACATTGGATTTTTACATAACCCTCTTTGTAATACTGGTTCGGCCACTAAACACAGACCAAGTAAGCTCTGACATTCAGTTAATCGGTGTATGCAAGTGTGTCTGAATATCAGAATGCCTGGTGTGTGTGTGTGTGTGTTCTGTATGCATGTGGTGGAGAGATTCAGGAATGTTTTTTGGGGGGAAAAGTTACCCGAGACCATGTGGGTTGTTTTGGTTCTCTCCCCTCTCTCTGCAGCTCCAAACTGGGAGGACACACCAGCATATTCTCTATGACCGGGCGCCACGGCGGGGACGGCAGGTCCGGGGTCAAGCGACGGGGAGGATGTACGAGGGACACGGGGCGTGGAAAGGTCGGGGTTGTTGTCTTTACATCATAGCAGGACGCAGCAGCGGCAAAACCTCTGACGACTGCCCCCGACGGAGGGCGGTGGAGTGACGGGAGCGAAGTACGCGTGCACTTTGATGTTAGGCAGATGGGTCTGCGGAGAGGGAAGACGGAACAACAGATGGGAATAGTTTAGTGGGACAAATACTTCCAAATGAGCACAATTACAGACAGAACGAGATCAGCTCGCTCTGGACAGAAACATCCCTCACTTTTTGGTATTTCACACCTCAGTTTGGATCCACTTCTTGTGGGTGGAGCGGTGACCTGAACACCAGAGTGCTGCTCGCGACAAAATGTTTGAATCCAGGACATGCCTCTGAAATGTTCTCCGGTGTTGATTCTGAATCAGGCCGTTTTCATAGGAAAAAGGCTGCTGTCATACTGCTTGTTGTGCCCCACTTGTACTCTTCCTTCCTCATTTAGAGGCTGTAGAGCTGATTAGCAACTATGCTACATGCTTGTACATCACCATTGCTGTAAGACATCTATCCACCAGTAAGACACTGTCACGTCAAATGTACTAGCAGCTAGCATAGCCTAGCAGCTATCAACATGTTTGGGCACCATCGGTCCTAAACTGGTCCGACACGTGATGGAATTCCTCTGCACAGTTATGTATGTCGCGCCTCTGTTTGGGTTCCTTCCATTGCAAAAAAGCCCTCTCCGCCTTCAGCTACCGTCTCCCACATTTAACGGACTACAGCTCGCAGCGGTTTCGTGTCAGGGGGTCAACGCACACCGGAAGTAAACAAAGTTCTGTTAACTGCGTTAAAATATTTTATCGCATTAATCTCAGCCCCAGTAATCACAGATTAACCCCGTAACCTTGACAGCCCTTATTTTGACACATTTGGGAGAGAGATTCGAGAGGAATCAGCCATTTGTGTGTATAGAAAAAAAATCATAGATCTTCTATATCAAAAATTGGGAGCAAACTAAAGTGTATTTTGGATCGACTGCATAAGAATCAGAGCTTATAACGATGTTACAAGCCCACCGCACTCACCCGTAGTCTCTTGATGCCAGCGCGGGTGATCTGCTGGCAGTCATAGAGCTCGATGCGATCCAGGCTGTGGCAGCTCTTCAGGTGCTCCAGCGAGGCGTCTGTGATCAGTGGGCAGTTGTCGAGCTCGATCACCTCCAGACGGTCGTGAGCGCAGGGGCCACTGCCGAGGTGTCGGATGCCGTCATCAGTGATCAGCTCACAGTGAGACAGACTCTACAAGGAGTGCCGAGACAAGAGGGCCATTACTCGAATATCTGCGACGTGGTGCTTGTAAATACAACAGGACTGGCAGCCACACACACACACACACACTCACCAGGACTTGCAAACGAGGGCAGTGGATGGACAGCTGGATAAGTGTTCCATCTGTGATCTGATGCAAAAATATATATATTTTTAAATGTCATAACAGCATACAAAAGTGGAACTATAATTTGTAGCTTTGATTGTTTATTACCTGCACACATTCTTCTAAATCCATCTTTTCAAGCTCATGACAATTCTATAGCAGAGAAAGAGACACTATGTTTTCAAGATGCTTTGGGACTAAAAACTAGTGAAATGAAGTCCGAATACTTCAAATGAAGCATGGAATTGTTGCGTTTGTATGAACCAGTAATTCAATGCCACACTCACCCTTGCTAATGTAGTAAAGCCCACATCTGTGAGCTGAGAGCAGCGAGCCACTTCCAATATTCTGAGGGGAGGAGTGGAGCAGAGTTACACGAGTTACGAACGCGGCTGTTGTCCGTGCTCACGGCTGTCACACTATTACGTTAGTTAGTAATTGGACGGGCTTTTTACAAGACGGGAACAGCTACTTGATTCTTTTCTTTCCAAACCATATGATTTAACCCCAAGCGCCAAGTGTAGAGTTAGGATTTGTGTGGAGGCGCGTGGACTCACCTGAGGCGAGGGCAGTTCTGTCCCAGGGCGTGCAGGATGGCGTCTGTGATGTTGGCACAGCCCGACACACAAAGAGACTGCAGGCGGTGACAACCTCGGCAAATTGTAATGAGGCCTTCGTCTGTGATCTGCTGCTCACAGAGAAAGTTCTGTTTGCGTTTGTGTGTGTGTGTGTGTCTGTGTGGGAGGTCACTTAAAATCAACAGCCAAGGTGAGATGTGAAAACATAAAAACGTTCCTGTGCTCAACACAAGCTATGCTTCTAAATCAATGTGCAACTTTGGCAGACAGAGTATTCACGTACTTTAATACAGAGTAAATAAACGGTTTTAAATATTGCTCAAGAAAACCGTGTAGATCAGGCAGAGGAGGAACGGGTGAGAAACAGCTAGGCGAGAGAAAGTGAAGAGGAGGAACTCTGACAAGATGAGATAATGAGTTCCTGAGGTACGAGATGAGAAAGAGAAGGACAGATGAAGGATGAGGACGAGAGGAGAATACAGGTGGCGATGAATGAGGGGCAATAGTCACATGGAATAGTCTACATGCACGCATACATACACATCGTCTGGCCCCGTAACTTGTACTTACTGAGCATGTCTGCAAATTGAGCGTGACCAGCTCCGGACAGTGAGCCCCAATATGTTTCAGAGCCTCGTCCTCCAACTGTGGAAACACAGTCAACTGTCACTGATATATATACACACATATATATAGACAGACATACATATTTATACCGTAGTGTTGACTGTCAATAGAAAGACATGGTGCTGTACTGTATACGTTGTCATGTTCTGTTAACATGCATGCAGTTCCTCAGAAACATCCTCTATTGCACAACAAGTGATGCTTTGTTTGCAATAGCAGCAGCTGTGTTGTAATGAAAAAAAGAGGTACTTGGTAGTTAGTACAGCACTTTCTAGTCGTGCAACCCCTCACGTCTCTTCTGCTCTACATGTCATTCACACACTGTTGGCTTTGAGAGCAAATTGAGAGGTTAAGTGACCGTAGCCGGGGGGGGGTGGGGGATCACACCCCCCATTTTCGACTTTCTGACCCACAGTTGCTAATGGCCAGAAAACGAACCTAATGCAGTATTGAGCAATAGGAACAGTAACAGATGTTACTCTGAATGAAATAAAATCCTCCATGCCGCAGTACGGATCACCAACTCCAGCGTACCTGTGTGCATCCCTTAAGGAAAAGGCCTTTGAGTCCTGGACAGCAACGCACCAGGGCCTGGATGCCATCCTTGGTGACCTGATCACACCAGGAGATGTTGAGCTGCTCCAGCAGGGGACAGCCCTCACTGACAGGAGGACATTCAGAAAGGAAATACATTTCATTAGGGGGAGAAAGAAAATCATGGGAGAAGTAGAACATGGCACAGAGGGAGGGAGGATATAGGAAACATTATTTAAGTACCTTTTGTGCAATTTACGTCAATTACATAATACATTTACTTGACTGATTTAGGTTCACCAACTGATGATTTCTGAGGGTGTATATGTTGCAAATTCAGGGGAAATGTGTTTCCCATACACACCTGAGAGCTTTGAGTGACAGGTTGGTGATTGAGGTACAGGAGGCGAGGTCCAGGTGCTTCAGCTTGGGACAGAACTTACTGAGGCTATTACATGTGCTGCGGAGGAGAAAAGACAATGAGCCTTTTCAAAGAGAAGCGGCATGATGGGACACTGGCATCCCACAATGATGCCCATACCTGTCAGTGATCTTGGTGCAGCCATTTAGACTGAGCAGCTCAATGTTCCTGCAGTTCTGAGAGAAAGTCCTACAGGGAGGAAAACAAACAGAACTCGCCAAGCGCTCTCTCTCCCTCGCTCTCTCTTCAGGGTCTGAAGTAAATAAAATGTCTGTCAGGTCAAGTCCTCGTCATACTCACCTCAGGGCGCTGTCACCCACCCCCAAGCAACCCCGCAGGCTCAGCTTTCTAAGGAACCCCCCACATCGCTTTGAGATGTTCTCCACCACCCGGCCCTGGAACGAAAGCAATCCACTCAGCCGGCTGTATATGCTTCTAAACCTCCATTTCAAATTAACAACGTATCTCATGTGAAGCGAGAACCGAAAACGAACAAAGCAAAAGACCAAAGTTACAGGTAGGAGATTAGATTTACTCACCTCAATGTCCCTCTGGAAGTCAAAGAGGTCGATTCGTTGCCAGTTGCTGCCATCTAGGGCCAGAACATTCCAGGACTGTGAGAAGGGAGGGAGACACGACGTTTAGGGTCAAGTTTGTTCTCAAACAAACTCGATCACACACTGGAAACACACAAGACAAAAACACATACAGTCACGCACACACACACACACACACCTTGTGAACACAGACTCACCCGTGAGACCTGGGCACAGCGACAGAGTGTCACGACATCCAGAAAGGAGAAGATTCTGGAAGACAGACAGGGACGGTTTAGAGACCCTGATCCCCGCTGCCAGAAGCTTCCTCCTTTACACTAAACCGCCCAACTCGACCCTGCTTCGGCTTCCGCTCGCAGCACTGAGGTGTGAGTGAATCAGCGAATATCCTCTGTTGACTGTGGGCGGCGTGGATGCATTCGCCCCGTTTGCTTCGGAACAGAGGTGGAAATTTACTACGAGATCCCTCAATGCAGCAAAAAGCCGCGCCGATGCAGGGATGCCCCGAGCTCCAGCACAGCCTGACACCCTCACAAATCAGGGCGCCGAACCTGGCGAGGCAGCACATGGCCAAGCGCCTCAGCACGGGCCGGCAAGGCCGGGGCTTGAGTGATGGCCTTTGTTTTTTGTAGCATCCCATTGTCTTTTTTCCTGAATTCCATTCAAACGCTTTATAGCCCGACAAATCTGTTTTTGATTACAGTTTTAGCATTGGGAGGAGGGGGAGGGGCTCTAATCCTGGTTTAGATTTAATATTTTATATATACACACACAAGTGTCCTACAGAATATGTGTCCTGATTCGAGGTCTGCAGTGGGGGGGGTTCAAGGCCAATTGTGACTTTGTGTACAATTGGATGTTCTGATTGAGAGCGAAAGGCAGGGAGGCGAGTGTGGAGAAGGCAACATGCCATATTTGCTCGCAAAAAACAAAAAAAAACAACTACAAGATTCTGAGTTGTGTGTTTCAAAAGGTCACTCACCGTAGCAACAGCTCCTTGGGCAGCTTCTTATTGATGACCGCCTCGTCACTATTTGTGAACATCTGAAAGGGTACAGAAGAGCATGTGAGTCCTGGACGTTTTTTTCTGGAGACTGGAGACTCCTCCATCCCCTCGCTTCACTCAAGGATATCCGAAGCATATAAAGCAAAGATAATTTGCTTAATGTCATCAGCAAGGATAGATGCAATGTCAAGTCATGGAAAACACGTGGCAGCTGAAGGTCAAACAGCACAGCAAACTGTAATTTGTATCTTCTTTACAAAATCAGCAGGAAAGGACTTTGTACTGTCGACTACAGGGCCGGGATTTCCTCCGCTCGCTTGTTATCTTTTCTGCCTGCATATGCTGCCTGTTTACCTCCCCTAACAACAGCGTCCGCATGCACGGAGAACGCCCATTGGAATTAGTTAAAATATGTTCTCGTAACTCTGAAACTAAATCTCTCCAGATCTGCAACGGCAAATTGATTTCAACACGCATGATTGTACAAGTCCAAATAGAAAGCTACGATCCGCAGATGAAGCCAAAGTAGACAAAGAGACGGTACATTAGCATTAATTAAGACCAAGCTTCTTGAACACACGCACACACACACACACACACACGGTTCCCATAGTTTGTGATAAATAATAGTCTGCTAGACTTTAAAATGTAAGACGTTGAGATTCAGGTGCCTCCCTTCAGTCACAGCAAAGCAAATCAAGCAACATCTGGCCACATCCATATTCCATTTATCTTTCTAAATCTAGACCAGACGGGTTAATTGAGCGGTGGGGGCTTTAGTGTGTAAATAAAAAGTGCTAATGCTATTTACGGGAGATAAACATCTTTTACTTGTGGAGGTCTATCCTAAAACCACATTCACAATAGCAGCAGATTTTGACATGCACACTTAATCAGACCTCTTCATCAGCACAAACAAACTGACAGGTCTGACTGTCAGTTAAGTTCTGTCAGTTCTGGGTAAGAGCCTCTCCACACGTGCCCACACGCAGGCAGTCTACGCAGGGGCGGCCTGCCAGTGCAGACGTGTACAATTTTGAATGAGTAAGATGGGTCAGACATTTCACGTTTGGATTTGGGGCAAACTGACTAATAGCATGTCCTCCACAGCGCTACGTTCTCTCCAAATAATCCAGGGACATTTCCAAAGAGCCAGCTGAGCATGGTCAACAGGCATACACTCTCCCCTTTTGTAATCTAACATAAATGAATGCGAGCATTATGTTTTCTCCACTGGCCAACTATAGTCAGGGAAGAAGGCCTGGCAGGAGGTAAAAAGCTGGATGGGCTATAACCTCCAGCTAGAGATCATTGTGAAGCTAAACAAAGTGGTCATATTTTTAAAAAACTGAAATGTTCTTGTGACAATATTGTTATTAATTACATATTAGAGGAATGTAGTCTTTTGTTTAAGGCTGGTATACAGCAGATTAGTATCTTAAACCGGGCAGTTAAGCTTAACAAAATACAACATTTTTGGAAATACATACAAAAGCACAGCTCCCTTTAGCGTATGATGGAGCAATTGGGTTTGAGCCGTTTCACCGCTGTGCCTTTTTGGTGAGCTACATTGCCTGTTATATTGTGTTTTTTACCGGTATATTTGAACTACCTAAATGCATGAGTAAAACATAATAATTATCTTAATTTTGGAAAAAGTAGAAGTAATTTGCACAGCCCCTGTACAAATAAACTAAGAAAAGAAAATTGCATTTTAAACAGCACATATTTTGGTCCTGCATTATGAAAAAGAAAATGCGTGTTGCACATTCTACTACAAAGTTTCCAAGAAATACCCTGTTTACCAGAAACCCCCAAAATCCGAAAAGCACCCTTTTTTATTTTGAAGTAAAGGTCCCCACTTCCGGTTCCGGAATCCGCTTCGCTTGACGCCGCGGCTCTACCGCAGCTGTCGGGCCAGAAGGTAACGGCCTGAATCTTCTGAGTCGTCAGCTGTTACGCCGTTAAAAATAAATAAAACCACACGCGCACACAAATCCCACGCTGCCTGTGGATTAAACCGCACTAAGTGCTTAGACTACACGGCGCAATGTCACCGACCGGGGCTCGTTTCGGGTGCCGTTGTTCCTCCAAAATAGATCAGCTACGCTTGCGGCTGCGACACAAAATTTACACAAATGCTAAATACAACACCGCAACTCGTGTGCGTGTAGCTGCAGTGTAGCGGTCATTCCGTACAGGTAATGGTCCACGTTACACGGACGGTCTGGGCCCATTTATTGCCCATCGCCGCCACCAGTACCGCAGCGGCCGTGTCAGTGCACAACAATCCGGCTCGTCCGACAACCCAACAACCCCCCAAAAAGTCATATTAGAAGAAAATAAATCACGGCCGGATAGACACAGGTGTAATTGTAAAACCGCTTGTGGGAATTGTGATGTCAACAAATGTCCTTCGTCGGTAAATGTGCTCCGCGCAGCCTCGGCGTCTTTGTTTTGACGGCGCAATGTGAAAAAAGGAGAACGTGTTTGGGACCTTTAAACGCTCCATTTCCACAACAACAACAACAACACTACCACCACTAGTGTTTCGGTCTCTGTGTGTGAAAACGACGACCGCCGTGTTCTCTTCACGTGCCTAAACCACAGAAAAACACTGGCGTTTCTGACCCAATCCCACCGCCGGTGACTGCGGAAGCTGCATCCACCGCCTCCCCGCAGGCGCAGTCCAACAACAAGCACGGCGGCGGTTCTCCGGTTGTAGGCCCGCATCCTGACGGGCTCCACGGCTACGCGCGGTGGTGGGGGGACGCGTGTCAACGGCTGCCGGGTCGCGGCGACGGCGGGCTCACCTCGAAGCGGCTCCGCGAGACTCCATTCACCTCCTTCCCCATGTCGGAGGGCCGGTTACCGACGCGACGGATTCGGTGTAGGCGACGCGAAATGCAGATACGGGGCCTCTTCCTTCCGAGTGCCCCGCACGACTATCATGCTACCGTCCTGGCGGCGGCTCCTCGGTGGCGATGTCGTTGTATTTATCGAACTGTAAAAAACAACAACACAAAAAAAAACTGTCGAGGACGTCTTCTATCGGATTAAATGCGAGCTACGGGCAGCAGACATCCAGTAAGCCAGTTCTCTTATCTGCTCGCGTTGCCCTCACCTCCTCCTCCGCCTCCTTCTTCTCCCCCTACAGGCTACGGCTTTCCATCCATCCACACAATAGCCCGACAGGAATAGGACCTGGAAGCCCAAAATGGAGCTGGTTTTAGGACTAACTTCACATCACTTGTAAAGGAAATTACATTTGCGTTTATTGTCCAAAGAACCAAATAAAAATAAAAAACTTTAAAAAAAAAACTTAAGGCAGGTTTTGGTAGAATTTGACACGACAGAGCTAGAATATATAATAATACATATCGTTGATCCTTTCCTTTGTATACCTTACTTGGAACTGACACATAAAAGGACCTATCCAAGGCTAAATACGTCTAACATGAGTAAGTTCCATCATCGAAGTCTGCTGGCATCATGACACAACAAGTCGCACTGTTCTATTCGGTGCAAAGAAGCGGATTGTTTGGCCCATTATATCATATTGACCATTTCAATGTTTGTTAACTCAATTCCACTGCATTAACTGTTCTCAAAAAAATGTTAACTTTCTTGTTTTTTCAGTACGCGACTTCCTGCTTCTCGTTTGCCACGCCCACTTTGACAATTGATCCAACCAACGTGCAAGGAAGTAGCGCGTCAAATTGCGTGTTCAAACGTTGGAACACGTGCTTGATATGAGTTTATTGTTGTCTTGTGCCACAATAAAAAGGATGTTAATTAATGGTGTCTTTCCATATCCTTTGAAAAATGTGGGTTTAATCTCTTTCTGATGGAAATACCGAATAAATTTGATGTACTAACTGTTTCACTCATTGGAAACTCATTTTATTTCCCTGTATTTAACAAATTATGTTATTGAGTTGACAGCAAACTTCTGTCATTGTAATTCTAAAGCTATAATTTAAATGATACAGGGAGATAAAATGCTCCCTCTGTTCACTGGTGCACTTTATTTTTAACTTTTAAATATTTTTACCCATAGCCTTATACTACTAACCCATAGCATTATAATTTATCTTATTCCTCGTGCACTGTTGTCTTGTCGTCCATTGTCATACGTATGACAATGGACGACAAGACAACAGTTACGCACCACCTCCTGTTACGCACCACCTGCCAAGTCAAATTCTTTGTATGTCTGACATATTATGGCAATAAATGTTTCCTGATTACGGCCCAGCTAAAACAGCTCAAATTCATAACTGAAGAAGTGAAGTGTGGGAAGTTTGTTTCCAGTTATCAGTTTGACTTACTTTATAAGGCTCACTTTATGAAGTTCTCTGTTGGCTTGGCACCATTAAGCTTACCCTGTATTTTATATTCATTGTTTAACTAATCTTAAACACAATTTGGACAGACCGACACAGGCTCAATAGGGACTCTTTTGTGAAATAGATGTACAATCATAACGTAGCCCCATAGAAACCTTCACATTTTCAACTATAAAACTTTGGTCTACATTAAACAGAGACAGACAAAGGGCCCCAGCATTTTCTACACGTTGCAGCTGCTTTCATTTTCGCTTATTGACTTGTTTATTTTCATAATCCACGCTGCCAACTGTTTTTGTTTGGCATATGTATATTTTGAATTTGCACCTGTTAATCTGTTTATATTTATGACGTTTGGGTTATTGTGAACCTTCTCACATTAATATTCGTTACTGATTGCATTTAGTTTATTTGCACTCGAACAATATCCCTAAAAAAACGATCACGTAAATAAATATGTGACACAGAAGCTTGGAGCTGTCAGGGCCCCAGGACGGTTGCTCGTTATGCCTGTCGGTAATCTAGCTTTGCCATGTTAGAAATTTAAAAGCCACCACGATCCTTATACTTCCATTCCCCGGGAATACAGTGCCGCGTGTTGTAATATTTCATACAACAATCCTGTAATACCGGAATGTTGTTCCTTTTTCTTTTTATATTTCCCGTTGCTGGCGCACGACCACGAGTACAGTGGGCGGGCCATGTGTTGTGATAGGCCGTTGCTAAGATACTACCGAGATCGACAGCGTTCCTGTTTCCGGTTCATTCCGCTGTGCGAAGTTGCTAGTCACAGGAGCCACAATGGCGTTTGTAGTCTCCTTCAGATAGGGCTGTGGATGATATTAAATCCACTAGCATCGCCCTAAATATAGGCCTGGTTGACTCCCAGAGCCATTAATAATAAACTGGAACATCTACTGCACACGACAATACTATGATTTCTAATCAATATTGACTTTATAGGAGATAAAACTTATATTAAAGGGAACATGTAAACCGGGTCAAGTTTTCATTTTGTTCGAGAAACGAGCGTCTTTAATGAAGGCATTCACTTAGTTTCTGACTGCTAAGGTCGTAATTCTGTGGAATAAAAGCACCTTAACTTAACTTGGCACTGGACAAGGACACCTTTCACAAAAGGACTTTTTCTTTTTCACGAGTCGGCTCGCTAGCCGTCGAGCATTAGCTAGCAGTGCTAGCTAAATTAAGGACTGAGACGACAGCATAGTGCTCCGATGTTCGCCTGGGATCTTTTTCATCCACTGACTAATTCAATCTGCGTGCTCTGCAGTGCTGGAAACCCGTGGTATCGTTCTGCTTAGTCGGACTGCGTTGGCTATCCCGATGGAATGAATCGGCGTTGAGGAGGACTGGACGCGAGCGGCCTTGGTGTGTTTATATTTTCTTTCTCCCTCTGCTTAGTAACTTAACGTTTCTGTTGTGGGTTTGGAGGCGCTCTACTCTCCCCCCCTTGTGAATGAATTGCCTGGACCACCGAGGCCCAGTTGCAGCCGAGGTACCGACGCCGGACGTGAGGGATGCCTGGGTCGGACCGACACCATGGGACCAAGAGGAAGCCGGAATCTAGCGGTGTGCTGCACCAGACCCAGGCCTCGACTCGCGCCTCTGCGGCCGACAAGACGAGCAAGGAGGGTAAGGTGCAGTCGAAATCTTCGATGTCCTCTTCCAAACGCAAACGGCACAAATCAACCAAACATAGTCGCGGGTTCTCGGCGGCGCCGGTACCCGAAGATTATACCCTCGGCGATGCGGCGCCACCTGGCGTCCACACGGTGAAGCCTCTGGTGGAGTACGACGATATCAGCTCCGACTCGGACACTTTTTCAGACCCGCCGTCGAGGCCTTCGGAGAGGGGGGGCGTGGACCGACTGGAGCCGTCGCCAGACTACGACGGGGATGACGTAGACATAGAGGCCGACGGTAGCGAGGACACGGGCCACAGACACTACCGGAAAAAAGCCAAGGACCCCAGCAAAGTTAGAGACTCTGGAAATGGAGAACGTGGGTACAAGAAAAAGAACAGCAAAGATCGCGAGAAGGGGAGTGCCGGGAAGAGCAAGGAGAAGGCCGCGTCCTCGGGCCCCTCGTCCAAACGCCAGGTCCAGCCCGAGGGCGACTCTAAACGGGGGGAGCTGATGCTCTCTACCCAGGTGCAGCCTGTGGCGAGCGTGGGCAGCACCACCTCCTCCGCATCCTCATCTCGCAGCAAGGAGAGCAGCCGCTCGGGCAAGTCTCGCAAAGACAAGCAACAGCGGCGGGAGGGCCGCGCGGAGGACGGCCGCGGCTCCTCCCAGAGGAACCGAGCCGACAGGAGCCACCGCAAGTCCTCCAAGGGCCACAAGTCCAGCCCCAAGGGCAAGGCTGCGGCCAGGGGGAGCCCCCGCCGGAAGGGCACCGGCTCGGCGCTCTCGCCCAGTCCCAGAAGAGGGGCCGGCAGCGAGAGTCCACAGGGCGGCGGGTATGGGCAGCAGGGGGACGACGGCTACTCCAGGCGGAGGGTGGCCCAGCAGAGCCCCTGTCCGTACGGGGACATGTCCCGCCGCAGCAGGCAGAGGTCGGACAGCCCCTACGGCAGCAGACACCGGTCCTCCAGCTACGAGAGGGACAGCAGCCCCTACTCGAGGAGGCGCTCCAACAGCCCCTATGGCGCCCGCCGGTCCTCCAGCACCAGCCCCGTGTCACGGTGAGTACAGGCGGCCAGGCGTTCGTGGGGGTGGTAATGGTGTGGTAGTGTACGCGGACACACGCATTTCCGATCCACGATGCTGCTCATTGACAGAAGTCAGTGGGACCGGTTCTTACTCGCAGAGGCCTTCTCCAGCCAACAGAGGGGGGTTCAGCTTGTACGCCCCTAAGGACGTTGATAAAAGCCTGATGGTGACAAAATGAAAGGATGGTCATTGTGTCATGACAGGCAAATGTTAGGATGTATTGCGTTTATTTATTTTATTTTAGAGCTCTGGCTACTACGAGAAGTTTAGGGGCTTTACAGCACTCATCAGACTGACTGACTTTAGCTGACTTTAGTAGATTTTAGCCGCTGTTTTCTTTCAAAGGCAGCTTTAAAAGCTGGGAACACACTTACATTGTTTTATAAATAAGGATCAGTCATGTTAGTGTTTAATGCAATAGTTCCACTTCCTAAAAAGCCATTTGTCATGTCCACGTTTTGGTTTTAGTATACTTACACTACGAGTTAAAATTTGTACACAACATGCACAGATTTTAATTTGTATTTATAGAATCAAGGATACCTGAAAAGCCTTTGAATGTATTTTATGGTCCTAACAGCGACTGAAATAGTCAAAGCAAATGTTAAATAGCTCATTACACAAGGAGAAGGCGCTATCACAGTTTTGAAACTAAGTCACTTGGTTTTGGAAAGAATCTTTTGTCTATTTCTATATGTATTCTATATCAAAAGATCTCATAATAGCCAGTTTACTACCCGCTCTATCAACAGAATGCATGCTATTCTTCATCTACACAGAGATGTCAACAATTCATTTTTTTAATTTAGGCGCTCTGGCCGCTCCAGGAGTCGTTCCCCTGTGCACTACTCGTCTTCTCGTCGCTCCTCCTCTCGGTCCGTGGCAAGAGGCATAGTTCCTCCGTTGCAGCGGGGGCCGGCTCTCACAGCAGCCGACCAGCGAGCCGCTCCCCTCCCTTTTCCCGCCTGCCACTTAACTCCAGCCTGGGAGCGGAGCTGAGCCGCAGGAAGAAGGAACGGCAGGCTGCCGAGGCGGCTGCCCGTGCTAGTGGCGGGGCGTCCCCTCTTCCGCCAGCAGCGGCGCGCAAGTGTGCCGGCTCCTCGTCGTCGTCAAGGCCCACTAAAGCTGCAGCTCCACCGCCAGAAAGAGACTCGACAGCAGCAGAACCTCTGCCCCCACCGCCTGTGCCGTTACCCCAGGATGCTCCCGGCGGTGAGGATCCGGTCGCTGTGCCGCTACCTTCCTCGTCCGCCTCCTCTCCGGCCCCGCCTCAGCCCTCTCCTCCTGTGCCACCCGCCCCAGCCACGCAGGTTCCACCACTTCCCCCTCAGGCAGAAACGAGTATCCAGCCTCCTACACCGTCAACCGCCCCCCATGTCGCACCGCCGGCTTCGGTTCCCATGCGCAGCCCTCTCCGGCAGATCCCGTTCCACAAGACGTCGACTCTTCCTCTCCTGCCTTTACCGCCTGCACTGCTGGGAAACACTCAGGACAGGTGAGTTCCCCCTAACAGGGACACATACCAACGTAATGTCTTACAGCAGCCACAGGTGCAGGAGGACATAAGAAGTTAATTTACAGCACTGGACTGAATGCACATTCATCTCATCTGTGCTCTTGTAATAAAGTATTTATTCCATCATTGTCATCCCTAATGTAGAGTAAAACATTTCACAACCTCACTTTAGAGGCTAGTTTATTAAGTAGTGTTATTTGTGTTCTAAGTCACACATGAAAGTGACTGACCCGCCTGCTTCTCTCCATCACCATGGAGCGGCCATACACACTTTTAGTTTAGCACTTTGCGTACTCTTAGATGCCCACAACTTTCTCCGCCCACACACGGTAGTTTTACAATAAAATGGTCAGCTGGGTGAAAAGGTCAGTGGTGGCGTATACACATGAGGGCGTGCTCAGCACATTGGATATCTGTTTTTCTCTAAACTTTTGTGTTTTGCATCATCAGTCCAAAGAAGTCCACCCCCCCTCAGAGGCTATCCAGGAAGGAGAAGGAGGTCCGGAGCCGACCGTCACTCATCGACCTTCCTTTACCCCCCACCCTTCCTGGAGGTGACTCCTCACCCCCACAGTTCCCCACCCAGCAGGCGCCACCGCTACCCCAGGCAGTCCTTAAGAAGAGACCAAAGTCCGTGACTCACTCACCCACTCCCAATCTTACTCTTCAATTTCCACGTTAAGTCAAATCTGAGTGTTTTTTTCTTGCTTTTCAGGATTTGCTGCCCGCGATATGGTGAGCGCAAACATACCCAGAGCGACTGGGGAAAACGCTGTGTAGACAAATTTGATATCATCGGCATCATAGGAGAAGGCACCTACGGCCAAGTGTACAAGGCCAAGGACAAAGACACAGGTAAGTGAACATCACCAGGACACGTGTCGCCCTCGTACACCTGTGTTCAAATCTAAAAATGTATTTATTTCATTAATTTTTTTAACGTGACAGGTGAATTAGTGGCTTTGAAGAAAGTGCGTTTGGACAACGAAAAGGAGGGTTTCCCCATCACAGCCATTAGAGAGATCAAGATCCTGCGGCAGCTCAAGCACCGTAGTGTTGTAAACATGAAGGAGATCGTCACCGACAAGCAGGATGCACTTGACTTTAAAAAGGACAAAGGTAAGAGGATTATATATTTAAAACATGACAGTGCGAGTCAACCGCTGTGACCGGCAGGAACTGCTAAGACGCGTTGCTACGATCCGTGTCAAAATTAAAACATAGACTTGTTTAATCCAAAACCGTGACCAAATGACAAATTACTACTTATTCCTTTGCCATGTAAATCCCTACCTTGTATGTTACTGTCTATTATTCACAGGTATTTTGAATTGACATTTAGACTCAAATATTTCAATTCATATGCAGTTTAAAAGTATCAAATCATAGGAATCAGATCAACTTTTAATCACAATGTATCAGACCCTAGTAAACAGATATTGTTAATTTCATGATGTGTATCACATCTTCAGGAAATCTGAATATAATTACAGCAGTGGGTCCGGTAGCACAATAAGTTAACGTAGTGAGGATTCACATTAGTAGCCCTTCTTTAGAGTTTCATCTCACATGAAGCAGTGCTGGTTTACACCTTAAGAAAGGAACATGACGCGATGCTGCAGCTGGCTGTGCACTTAGAACAGCGTTTCAGCTCACTGTCGAGCCTTCTCACTAGATGCGGAACACATTTAAAGTGAGGTTAAAAGATATGCGCTGATGAAAGGACAATAGCAAACCTTTTACACGTTCGATTCTTGACACTTTTAGGGTTGAGTATGTTTTGTGTTTCTGGTTTCTAAATACATCTTTACTCCGTATTTAGGTGCTTTTTACCTGGTGTTTGAGTACATGGACCACGACCTGATGGGCCTCCTGGAGTCTGGCCTGGTCCAGTTCTCCCATGAGCATGTCCGCAGCTTTATGCGCCAGCTGATGGAGGGTCTGGACTACTGCCACAAGAACAACTTCCTGCACAGAGACATTAAGTGCTCCAATATACTGCTCAACAACAGGTGAGGAAAAGCAGAAGGAGTGAAGTATTAAAGTGTCCGTTATTTAGACCTTCTGGTTGCGCTTCATCTGCCGTAGCTGCTAGCATTCACTTGATTAGCAGTAAGGACCTTTTCAGGTGATTTTCCATGCTACCTTTTATGAGCATGTGTTAATTTAACTAACCTCTGAACCCCTTCTGTAAAACTGACTTAAACAATATCCGCTATAATGGAGCAGCAGCATCATCAACATCCACAACAGTAGCTCTGAAGTGAGACCAAAAGCAGTCACATGCTAACAATGATTGGAATGCAAGAGGTGTGTGCGAAGCAACAAAGGCAACTGCTTTGCTTCTAACTCGGGCTTCAAATTACAGCTCCGATAGCCAAGAGGCAAAGAGAAAGTAGCTCAATGGATGAAAAATGGATCCATTCAGTTGGGACATTTGTTCGCTGTCATTTATTTTTTCGTTTAAACACTCGCTCTAATTATGTGTTCACCTTTTTAAAAAAAGCAGCATGTATTTATTATTTAACCTGAATTAGAAGAGAAGAAAATTATATATTCTTTTTATATTTCTATGACAAGAAAGCGTCCTGATTTTGTTTAGATGCAAACTAGTTAAAGAGGCAGAGTTGTATTTAGTGTCTCGGGGTCAGTTACTGTCAGTGTTTCTTCCTGGTTTTGTTGCCGCTGATCTCTCTCCTTTTCTCCGCACAGAGGGCAGATCAAACTGGCTGACTTTGGTTTAGCTCGGCTTTACAGTTCAGAGGAAAGGTAAGGCGTCCAAGGCTTTTTCCCCAACACTGAATTAGATGTCTCGATGGCAATTGATTGCACACATGCTGTATGAAAAGGCTCATCCTCCCCCCTTCTCCCCCCCTCAGTCGGCCGTACACTAATAAAGTAATCACACTATGGTATCGGCCCCCTGAGCTCCTGCTGGGAGAGGAGAGATACTCTCCAGCCATTGATGTATGGAGCTGTGGGTGAGTAGAACATCATCCATTCACACTTAATAACAAATGAGTATTTTCTTTCTGCTGTGTAAACAAGACTACGTGTTTGCAGCACACTGAGTAACTTTTTAATCCCGAAGCACCGTTTACCACTGAGAGACAAATGGAGCTCCCTCAGGAGTGAGATGCTTGATTCTTTTCATTCTGCTGTCAAATGTTAACTTGATTATAAAGTAGAGGACCATTTAACAAAACATATCTTTTAAGCAGTATGAAGAAAGAAAACGTTGCCCCGGGAACACATTTCTATACTACTTCTTCACTCTTTGTATCTTCTTTAACTATGATTTCTAGAGTTTGAGGGAAACACAAAAGGTATCTTAAAAAGCCAAATGTAGTAAGATTTATTTACACAATCCCACTCATCCTGTCTGACGAAGACAGTTTTTTTTAAAACTAAGTTTGGAGAGTGGTTGTATATTCTTTGATACTACTTCTGCTCATTCTTTGTCATGACAGGTGTATTCTGGGAGAGCTCTTCACAAAGAAGCCCATCTTCCAGGCCAACCAGGAGCTTCTTCAGCTGGAGCTCATCAGGTCGGTCACCTCTTCCTGAGCATAAAGCACCTCCAGTAATGCTGCAACCGCTACACCCCGATATCTTTGTTTCATCATCGCTGACCGTTGTGTCCTTCCCCCACAGCCGTCTGTGCGGGAGCCCCTGTCCTGCAGCCTGGCCTGACGTCATTAAACTTCCCCTCTTCAACACCATGAAACCCAAAAAGCAGTACAGACGGCGGCTGCGGGAGGAGTTTGCCTTGTACGTAGCAATGCTGAGTTGTCTCCCTCCCCCCCCCCCCCCCCCCCCCCCCCCCGCGCAGCTGAGGTCAGCCAGTGTCTCTTTCTACAGTTGAAAAAACTTTTTTCTTCCTTTTGCGCAGTCTACCGACTCCTGCCCTGGACTTGCTGGACCGAATGCTGACCCTCGACCCCGCACGCCGCTGCTCATCAGAGCACGCGCTCAACAGTGACTTCCTGAGTAACGTTGAGCCCAGCAAGATGCCGCCGCCAGAGTCAGTAGCCCAATGGCCTCCGCTTACCCCTTTTACTTATGTTCTATTCAATATATATATATATATATATATATATATATATAAACATGCATCTTTTTTTAACAAATTGTGAGAGCTGAATGCTTTTTGTAATAACCTATCAACTGTCTACAGTCTCCCGCACCACCAGGACTGCCACGAGCTGTGGAGTAAGAAGAGACGCCGCGCCCGTCAGAGCGGGGTGCCCGAAGATGTGCCTGTGCCCAAAGTGCCCCGCAAGGATGCGACCGGGACCTCCAGCGGAGAAAACAGCCGGCCTCAAGCCAGCCCGGCTGGAGCCCCACCGCCGGAAAAGCCGCCCCCTGCCGCTAACTTGGAGAGTGAGTTGTCAGGTAACTGCGGCCTAGGAGACCTTGGGGAAACACTGGTCCTAATACGACACTTATTTGATACCCTGTTGACAGAGGTTGAGGCTGGTATGCTGATATACTCTTTGCACTTATTCAGAATAAAATGTCTCTGAAGGAGATATTTATCTGATGCTTTTTCATAGTCTGATTGGTTGTTCTTGTGGATGCGTTCAGGACTGGGGGTTGCTGCAGAGCAGTTGAACCAGACGGAGCTGGCGGTGCTGCTGAACCTCCTCCAGGGACAGACGGACCTCAGCCTGCCCCAGGTGGCTCAGCTTCTTAACCTCTCCAAACCAGAGACACTCAGCCAGTCGCTGTCTGCCCTCAGCGAACCCTCTGACCCCCAGGGGGCGCCAGAGGACCAGGCCCAGCCCGCTGCCAGGTCCCAGCCCCCAGAGCCACCTCCCGAACCCCGGGAACTCTCGCCGACATCCGGAGACCCGGCACTCAGCCAGGAAGACCAGGCCGGCCTTCTGGCTCTCATTCTGGGCCACATCATAAAGCCACAGGCCGAGGAGCAAGGCGACGAGAGCAATGGCGTCCAATCAGAAGAGGCACTAATGCGCGGTTCGTCTGCCTCTACTTCTGATCGCAAGGGCAAGTCCGGGTTTAGTCTCTAGAGGGTGGAAAGTGTGGGGGGGGGGGGCACCAAGGTCAGTCGAAAATCACTGGGAACAGCGAGAATGAAGAGAGCAGGGCAGACAGAACAGATAGAAGCCACCTGAGTTGTTATTTCAGATTCCTGTGTACTCTTATCAAATTTAGACTTCCTGATGAAATCAACAGTGATGAATTAACCAAATGAATTGGGTCATTAGTCCTATCATGCATCCCCCACCCTTTCCATTACCCTTGACATCCGCCACACGCTCGCCACAGTCCCGTTTAACCACCTTCCGTGTTGAAAAATGCAGTGCCTCGCAAAATGTCCCCCCAGCGTTTGTCGTCATGTGACCCTGGTAACCAGGTAACACGGTTATCTCTCACTGGTGTACTCAATAAACCAGGAGAAAGTTTAGTTTTATTCATTTTAGTCAACGGGAAGGTTCACACTGTACTGTTCCTTCCACATTTCTCCCACTTCCTTGTTTCTTTCTCACGGACTTTGTTTCTGTATCTTTCCTCTGAACTCTCCACTCATGTTCTCACTTCATTTTCATCATAAAGCAAGTGTCATGGATTCTTCACATGAGGCGATGTTGCTTTAAACAGTCTGTAATGTCAGCCTTTTTATGAAGAAAGTCTAATAAATTATCAAGTGAAAATAAATGTTTTGAGTCTTTAGACCTCACCTGCATGTGTTTCTTTTAACTTTGGTTGGTCACACTTTTTTTTGTTTTTAAACTGTTCATTCGGACACTGATATTAATTCAAAATGGCATTAGCAAGTTGAATAAAACTATTGGCTGTGCTGCTGACACTGGAAAGGTAACGGTCCTGTTTTCTTCTGCTTATTTCGCCTGGGAAGCACTGCTATAGAAAGGAATGAGACAACCTGGTTTTGTTATTGTGTTTCCTCTACATAAGTCACCCTTCCTGTTCATCCAGCTCTACGTGCCCCTCCTGATGTTCTCATCTAGTGACCACATTTTCCCCTTACTGAAAGTTGTTGGTGGGAGGAAAAGCAAAAACGTCTGAATCTCTCTTGCATAAATTTTATGCAATATAGTTTCATTCCATATAGTGAAACGGTTCAATGTCACTGTTTCATTTTCAATGTTTAGATTTAATATATCTGATTAGGAGCATGCCTGTATGTTTTTCTTTTTTTTTTCGAAGGCCGACTTTCAGGTCATCGTAGTTTTATCTTTTGCTCCATATGTTAACTTTATTGCAGCAGTACTGGCCGATAAGTTTTCCCTCATAGTTCTAAGATGCACTTCTAAAATGTGGTGAGACATTTAAAGTGCCGTGCTCTCCCTCTTGTGGAGAAGGTAGGAATTTCAACTGTCAGGCCCTTTTATAACAAATGCATTGCTATTTTCTGTGAGTGCAGATCAGAACAGAAGAGGACAAATGACGTTTGGGGTAGTCGTATAGATGGTGCACATTAAAAATTGCTATGCTTTGATGCCTAACGTTGTGTCCTCTGTCCCGTTTGGCCCCGTCAGATGGTACGACATCAAAGAGCAAAGCGCTTGGGGTCAACCAGGTGCCTCCATCTGCTGAGCAGCGTCCCCCCTCTCCACCCGGGCCTCCTCCGTCAGCTCTCCCCCTGGGGCGAGAGGCCCGTCCCAGGCCGGACATCAGCCCCGCCATGGCGGCTGCCTTGCTCCAGCTCATCTCTCAGCAGGACTCTGAAGAAGCCGGGAACCCCGAGCCCGGCGATGACCCGTCTCCGGCGGGGGATGCCCCGCCCCCTCCTCCACCCCGGGTTGCTGACCCCAAACCTACGGCCGCAGCCGACGCCCCAGCGGGACTGGGGACCGCTGCTCCTACTGCTGCAGCACAGTTCCCCAAGGACCAGGACCTGCGCTTTTCTCACGGAGCCGCCCGCTGACCCCCCGAGGTGCACCGAGGCGGCTGCGTTGTTCCCGGCACGCAGAGGAAGAGTGCAGATGGGACACTGGACGCATGAGCAGGTAGCTAAAGTTGAATCAAAGATTATGAAAATGAATGTCTTAAGGAAAGAGCTGCAGGGCCTCGCCGGGTCCCGATCACCACCGCGAGCAAAGCCGCTGCATTGGAGGGAGTGTTTGGACCTGGGCTTGATCCGAAAAAAATCCACAAAGTGACCGTTGCCCACTGCAATCCTTTCCCTGTTCACTGAAGATCCTGACTTGAATGAAATTTAGCTTCCAAACTGAGTGCCGTGCAGCTGACACTCAACGTAGAAAGCAGCTGTGATCTTGTTTTTTCTTCCCCCAAACAAATGATTGTCACGTCCTCTTGCAGTGACTGCTTCTGACGTCTGTTTTCGGAGGTTGGGCTGGGCGTCCACTCTGATATAGGGGGGGGGGGGTGTGACTGTGATGGAAGCTAAACTACTGTGAATGGGTATTTGAGACGGACCACTGGAGCTACACGAGTTTCCCCTTGTGCCGCACATGCCGGCCAGCGCTCCTGTTTTCAGCCTTGTGCCTCCTTAGTGACCCCTAAAGGATGTCGTCCTATCGGGGGGAGCGTGGGTTGAGTTTCTGCTTTGGATGATGCTTACAACAGTGCACATCTGCAGGACTGTATTATTTTTTGTTTAGTTTTTTTCACACAAAGACTACTCCATGTTTTCTTCTGTCTGTTATCAACAACTGATCGTGTTGTCGCGTGAAGGTTTTCCTTTAGCATACAGCAAAACGCATAAACCTGCAGTACTTCTTTCCTGTCTCTAATATGGATTTAACCACAAACTGCTCCATAATACTCAAGCTATTCTGCTAGTTGAGATATACAACCCTAGAAACATGTACCCACAGAGAGCGACCCTTGTTTTGGCTACCTGGTGGGCTGTGAAAGCCCTTTCTAAAATGCCACCGCCTACCTGCCAACATGTGCAACAAAAGCTTCTTTTTTCTTTTTCTCCTTTTTTGGTGGTTATTTTCTACATAAAGAAAATTATTCACGCTTAAAATAAAAAAATTGGTCCATGGTTTTTTTGTATGTTTGTTTTGCTTTGGAGAAGGGAATGCTGGAGGAAATGGTTTGGTGTGTCTGTAAAAAAGGAAAAAAAATAATATTTTGTAATATGTGTTTTTCTCGGTTGAGTTTATTAAAGGAAGTAATGCGACCAGTTGAACGGTGTCTCCTGGTGTGAATGTTTTCTCTGAAGTGGCCACTAGATGGTAACCCCTCACTCGTACAGCGCCGCTGATATCTGCAGCAGTCATGCACCAGAGTTCTGATGATTCTCATTCATCTTACGATCTGGCAACTCCTGTTGGGCTTTTTTTTTTACCAGGAACATGTCATTGATCGTAAAGGTCACATGACAAGACAAGGGTAAAACACAATGTAAGAACCCACTGTTCATAATCTGAATGAGGTGCTTGTTTTGTTGGTTATCGCTAATCGAGTTTGCAAGTAGTCCCGTGTTTATTTAAATCCATATCCATACGTGTGGCAGTTGAAGTGTAGTTTGTTTTCACATAAAAAGGCAGTGTAAACGTATGAGATTGACCCGTCAGACAGTGACTGCAATCCTCCCTTTCGTGTCAATCTTATACCCGTGTTTATTCCGTTACAAGCTGGGTTGATCTCTCCATAAAGACCCTGACGGGCAGACATGGATCATAAACTGCAGGTTTGCATAGAGAGGCCTGCAAGGTTCATGCAAGACTAGGTGTGTGTGTGTGTGTGTGTGTCTTTTTGTGTTAGAATTGGCTTCACGCACACCCAGACCAGTTCGTCACTTGGCAGGCCTACAGAGCCGCCGCTTACCCCTCTGGCCCACCAAGCAGCTGAGCCCTCTGAGTGAGAGATCCTTTCAGAGCGGAGGCAGTAGGAGGCTCACCTGCCCCCTAGCGCAGGCCCAGTGTGAGTGGGATGAGATGGTGCCGTGTGCGTGCGTGTGTGTATGTTTCCGTCTGATGCTTTCGCCCACCGGGACTTCAAATAATGGTGAATGTGCCCGCAGGGATCTTCCACGGGAGAAGTAAGTGGGCAACGCCAGTGCCAAGTCACAGAGACGATGGACGAATAAATCAGGAGCGAGGAGAGGGAGGGGCACGAGGCGGTGCCATCAATCAGAAAGGCACCTTATGGGGAATGCCCATAAATGTAGGAAATGAAGCACGTGAGCGACATAATAGAGACGGGGCTGCCGGCGCCATTCAGGAAGGAGCCTCCATTTTGGACGCCGTCGCTTCACTCTCAGCCACGTTCTGGAGGACTTCCAGACAGACAGTGAATTGACTGACTGTCCATTTGGGTCGATTTATTCAAAAGGTTGTTGAGGCGCTTGTCTTTTTTCGTATTGCATCTTGGTCCAGTTTTCTCTGTTTTCCCGGTGCAGGCTGATAGCTGGAGCAGGAATATTGGATCCACGACACGTTTCACTTTAAGCAGTCGTCCACTGTGCGAAATCCGTCAACCTTGAACGGATAGCAGCTCCTTTTTGAACATGTGTCAAACCAAGAACCCGGCTCTCGCATCACTCATCAGCCCCCGACTGAGTACAGAGCATTTTGGAAGGTGGATCCTTGTTGGTTCATTTGTTGTAGAAAGCCAGATTTAACCTTGCAGGGACTTGTCGGATGCTCTTTTAAGCTGAAATGATCTTAAACGAGGCTTCTTGATCATCAGATTGCAACAACAAACGATTTAAAAATCAATTCTAAAACAACGGTTTGTCTGACCTGGTGCTACATTTTAATTAAAGAAAATTCCCTTTTGTGATGGAGACGGCGAGGCTGATGGACAGCAAAGGAGTTGAAACCCTGACTGACTGTGGAGAAAAAAGCAATGCAATTAATATTTTACACAATCAACAATAATTTCTAAGCCTTTTGGCTGGATTGACCCTCAACTTCACAGCCTTAGATTGTGATTCATTAACTCAAGTTGCCGTCCCAAAGTGCACAGTGTGAGATACCACTGATGCAGGCTTTCCAGACAAAACAAAACTCTAAATCTGCGGCTGAGGAGCTCTATAAATTCACTTTCTTTTAATCATGTTTACTCGTAAATGTAATATGAATCTGGCTCTTTAAAACAACACTATAACTAATTTTCCCGTTAATTTACAGTAGTCTACTGTCTCCCACATTTCCTGTATTCTACTGTAGTTCTACAGCATACCTATCGAAAATGACATACTATAAAAATATGACCGTGTAGCGTTGTAAAGAAGTGGCATTATGCTGTTATTTTACCTGTGCCAACTGTAAATTACGACAGCATACTACTGTAAAAAAAAAAAAGTATTACAGTGCTGTATAGAAGCGGCATTGTACTACTCACCGAATGTGTGTGTGTGTGTGTGTGTGGGGGGGGGGGGGGGGGGGCAGTGTAAATCTGGGCCACTGTCGTCTCTGCTACGAGTTTGATGACTGAGGCTGTTTGATCAGTGACTATGAGTAAACTCAGTGAGGGGAGGAAGGGAGTCCCACAGTCCCACATCTAAGACACACACACACACACACACACACACACACACACACACACACACACACAGAGTGGTCCGCTAACAACAGCGTAAATATAAAGCATAATGACAGAGAATTTTCGAATGGTCAACAGAAAAAACGTGTAATTAGCAATGGAACTTGGGGAGTGAGCAATTTTTGCTGTCTTCATCAAATCCTCTTTTTTTGTCTTCAATCAAACAGAATTTAATGTCACTCGTTTTTGTTTATGACGCTTTATTCATGTGATGTATCGAAAAAAATCCATTGACTTCATCCCAGCAGTGATATATGATTTAGTGCTGCGACAGCATGCTTTATAGACACTATAACGCCATCTCCATTTCTACTCAGTTTATAGTTTTGTGAGAAACTGCTGTCACACGCGCTCGTTATTTCTTTATCACTCAGCAGCAGTGCGACCAACAAAATTCTTTTTAGGAGGCTTTCGGACGAGCCAAATGATACAGATGTTTGTTTAGTATTTATGTAAAGTCACTGGTGCCAGGTCATAAAACTCCTAATAATCCTGAATCACATTCACTGCTATGGTATGAATTCTACCTATAGCAGCAAGCGTTGCATCAATAATCTATATTAGGGGTGAAAAGGCTTAAAAGGAAAAACATCCCTCTCTCTGCGTGATGCTGCACTTCTGCGAACCAAAGTACTTTTCCGAGGTCTCATTAACGATTACATTCAAAGAGCCTCATGAGCCATGCAAGATCATTGTGTCTCTGTGTGTGTGTGTGTGTGCGTGTGTGCGTGTGTGTGTGTGTGCTGCCGCTTTAAGGGCAGAGGGGCTGCTGGGAAAGCAGTGAGCCAGGTTGGTGGAAAAGGAGGCGGGTGGTGATGGTGTAAAGGGAGGGGGATGTGGGTGGAGGAGGGGGTGAGTGGGGGGAGACGGGCCCTGCAGGACCATTTGCGCTGAAGCTCATTTGCGCAGCGACACTTAATTGGCTACAACAATTAATTAATGTGTTGGAAAGTTGGCACAAAAAGTTCATTTAAGAGGGTTTTAATAAGCAATTAGAGGAAAAGCAGCGAAGAGGGGGAATTACTGGAGAGGAAAGAGAAAAACCAAGATGCAGCGCACGTCTGGCCACTACCAGCGTGTACGCCGTGCTGTACCAGGGGTTCATATCTTTGTCTCTTTCTCTGACCCTTCAGTTTTTGAAGAGCCGACGGACGATTAGGCGCCATTATGCCGCTTTATGGCTTTCTGTGTCTACCGCTGCTGGTCTTAAGTGGACTTGAATCCCATGATGCCCTCATATTGTGTACATATCAACCCCGGTGGCCCCTCCTGCCCCTCCCATTCCTACCTCTTGTCCCCGTGCCCAGTGGAAAATATCGCATGACTAATGAGCGGAGCGGGTTGGAATCCTGGGGAAGATGTCCTTGGAAGACGAATGCATTTTCAGCAGAATAATTAACTTAATTAACAAATTCACATGCATATTCATCAGCCTATTAATGTCTGCTCCGCGCTGCTTGATGAGCAATGCAATAATAACCGTTTCATTTGCATATTTGCATTCACATTCACACCCATCTCCAAATAATAAAAAAAAGACAGTGTAAGAGACTCAAAAGACAAGGAAGTCGCCTGGCCTCACGTTGTGTTTTGCAAAGCATTTCCCTGCGAAACACGCACAACTGCTCACAGATATCTATCTCTGGCACTCCTTTCCAATCACTGCATGCCAGTTCAACTTTAACAAGATAAGAAGTGTGTGCGTGTGTGTGTGTGACTCTCTCTCCCTGCTTGCACCTCCAGCCCTTTTCTTGAAATCACTGCATCTCCCTCTATGCTTCCTCTCTTACTGCTGCACCCTCCGTCTCTCCTTCCTGTTTTCGTCTCTCTCTCCTCTTGTTATTTATTCATCCCCATCAGACTCTCAGTCTGTAATATATTTATTTTCCAGCTTTTGAAGTTGAGCTCATCTGCCTGTCAGTGTTTGCATGTGTTGCTGGAGAACTTGGTTGCGTGCGACGAGCACCGCCGACAGTTGTCTCATTGCACCTAAACTAAAGGAGCATCTAGTAGGGATCTAAATAAACAAATAGATCGTTCGTGTCATTTTACTTCCTTGATTCCTGTTCACGTTTTAAGGGCTCATTGTGTGTTTGTGTGTGTTTTTTCTTTAACACTGTGTTTGTATTCTGACAAGCAGAGATCTCTGTGTGTCTCTCGGGGAGCGATGAAAAGTCAGGCTCTATTTCCTGAGAGGCTGTCTTTCATCCCCCAGGGTGCATTTGTGTTTACCTCTTTGAATTCTACTTGTATTGTGTCATTGAAGTCCCTTGTTTGCCTTTGCGAGCTCCTCTCCAATACTTCACATGACAGTGATGTGGAAGATAAACGTGTGTGTTGCATTTAAACTGGACCTGGGGCCACTGTGTGGGTGTCTTTCATTGCCTATTTGAGGAAATGAGGGTGATGCATTTGTGAAACTAAGAATACGTGTACGTGCGTGTGTGTGTGCGTGTGTGCGTGCGTGCGCTTGTCTGCATGTTTGTGCTGCCAGCTTGTGTTCAGACAGCAGCAGTTTGCGGAGCGAGAATTGAAAGAAGGGAGGGATGCCAAGTGAGTCCCTGGAGACAGATTCATTGGACAGAGAGAAGAAAGAGGAAATAAAAAGGATTTCACAAACACACACACACACGCACA